ATGCTGGTGTCTTCATGTGTCAGCATTCAGCATCTTTGTGCTCATCACCAGTGAAACATGTGCCTCTGGGTTCTGCTGTGGCAGCTGGGCAAGGAAAACTGTTTTAACAATCTGGTTAAACATCTATATATCTTCTAACTGTGCAGTTGGATCAGTTATCAATCATTTTTCAAAAATTTCTAGTGAAACTTAGGTGTCTGAAATCAGGCTAGAACTTTGTTGTTCTGTGATAAATAAGAGCAGTTATGTCCCTGCTCTTCCACAGCTCAGAGTGGAACTGTTAATGATCCCTCTACACTATTAGGTAACATTAATCAGCCTCATTGCACTGTGCTATGGAATCTGGACATATTTAAGATAACGGAAAGTAGAGAAATGTTAATTGGGGAGAAAGATTGGGTTCCACTGTGCATGTGCTTTTCTTTTTTTCGTATTGTTACATGAAATATACATACATATTTGCATATATTTACATGTGTATATGTATATATGTGTGTGTGTGTGTGTATATATATATATATATATATATATATATATATATGTAATTTTTTTAACCAGAGTGGAGTCTAGCTGTTTTAGGCAGATGGAAAATTGCCTGAATTGACTCCTGGATGGGAAAGCATGTAGAGCCCCCAAAGAAGTTTAGAAATCCAGTATTTTAGGAGTATTGACAGTGAGGGGAGAGTGGCAGGCAGAGAATGAGGAAGGTGCTTCTGTCAGACACTGTAGTACAGGCGAAGAACTGGAAACTGCATCCTGAGAATAATGACAGGCTAGTGGCTGGGTTCAGTCAGGAGGGTGACATCATCAGCTCTGCTTCTTGTAAGTGATTTAGAGAGTCATTTGGAATTAATTAAATTATTTTATAACAACTCATATTTTCTAAATGTTTAAATTGTGTATCATATGTTTTAATATTAGTATACAATTTGAAGATGAAATATCTTCATTTTGCAATGATCAATTTACATTAAATTTAATGTACTTACTCCTCATCCCCTAACAATGAAGACGAAACATTGATGAACTTAAATTCCATTTTCCTATTATGCTTCATTTTTAAATCCACAGTAAAAGCTGGTTGTATTCAGTAATCTCTTATGTTCTAGTTGAGGGTTTCTTACCCTCAGCATGAGCAAGCAGTCTACAAGCAGCACGCTTTCCAAAGTGTTGGCTTTCCACTCTACCACATATTTTGCTGGTAGGGAGACAACAAAGCAAATGGATATAGAGACCTTATTACTTATGCAGACAGCATAAGAAAGGCCAGCATGATGTCACTTCCCCATGACCCTTGTACCACAGGATGACACCTAACCAGAGGGACTAGATGATGGTGGTCTGATGAACAAATGAGCAATGGAGTGATCTGTCATTGAGGAGTCCATTCTAGACTACAGCTAAGTGGTTTTCCAGGCTGCAGCTCTAAATAAGGGAAGGCACCCAGGGAGGCAGAGAAGGAACTGCCCCATGGTATCCACAAGAAAGGGACGTGGATGAGAAATAGCCTGTGACAGCTCCTTCCAAGAATGCTGATCTTGCCATGTTCTTGGAAGGGTCACAAGGTTTTCCACTGATACTTAGATCAGACTGCAATTGAGTCTCTCATGCATGACCCAAGTGGATCTGTACAAGGTTATCAGGACCCCATGGCAGAACCATCCCCTGCAGACTCTATAGACATTTGGGGCTGCATCATTCTTTGTTTAGAGAAGCTCTCCTGGCCTCTCCTGTTGAGCAGCATCCCTGGCCTCTACCCACTAGATCCCAGAAACACCATCACTCAATTGTGGCAGTGAAAGTTATCTCTAGGTGTTGCCAAATGGCCCCTGGGAAGGCAAGACTGCCTCAGGTTGAGAAAACCTGCTCAAGTTATTTAAGGTTACTCATGTTTTCTGGTGGATTTTTAATAGGATGTAATTTTCATGAAATAGTTATTTTCTGCTAGTGTTTTGTAGTACATTGACATAGCCCTGGAATTGGATTCCACAGCCTCATAATGTTCAGAGTGCATTTATTGCACCCAAAGTTTGAGCATAATAATTTACTTAAGTTTAACAATTCTATTTTAATAAAAAAGCTCACATATTCTGTAAAGATGTAAATGCTCATGTTTACAGACTCTTTTCTAAGGGGATCTTATTTGCATTACCCCACTTCTCTTAAGATTTGCAAGGATAAACTTTTTCCTAAGTGTAGGAGCAGGCCCAAAATGAAGCCAAGTCAGGTGAAGAAAATGATCAGCTCTGAATGATTGGATAAAGAAGATGTGGTCTGTATATACAACGAATTACTACTCAGCCATAAAAAGACCAAATCATCCCATTCACAACAATATAGATGGAACTTGAGGATATTATGTTAAGCAAATCAAGCCAGACAGAGAGAGACTAAGACTGTATGATTTCACTCATATATGGAAGACAAACTAACATGGACAAAGAGAACAGAGTAGTGGTTACCAGAGGGGAAGGGGGTGGGGGGATGTGCATAAGGGGTAAAGGGGCACATTTATATGGTGAGTGACAAATGATAATGTACAACTGTAATTTCACAATGTTATAAACTATTATGACCTCAATAAAATAAAAATAAAAAATGAACTCTGGCTATTATAAATAATTTAGTGAATTTCTAATTTCAATGCATAATTTATTTGATAAAATTAGATTTCCAAATTTTTCGTTTTAGTTTGTTAAAATAATTAACAGCTAACAGTTCTCCAAGAGAATTCATTCTTATTTTGTAATGATTAACCTTTATTAACTAAATTTAAAAATGTTTCACCTTTGTCACTTAGGTGCAAACTTAGGAATGACTTTAAATTCCATTTTTCTCCTATTTCCATTTTCCTCTCAAAGTAAGCATTATTTATCTTCACTTATCCAACTACAATCCTTTTTACTTTAAGAATGTTACTATAATTTTATAATTTTCAGGAGAGAGCAGTATTTTATGGAAGTGGCATGTAATTTATCTACATAACTCCTTGAATTGCATTTTATTTCCAGAGAAAGTAAAACCTTATTTGTTGCACTAAACTCTTATCTTTCCAGATCCCTGGCCTCATGCCCCATCTTTCTCAGTTAATTTTACCATATCTGAATCTCTGATCCATTGACTCACTATGATCCCATCCTCAGTGACCCAAATCCTTCCAAAGAAAGCTGAGATCCAAGGTTTCCTCGTTATAATGAATCTCTTGAAAAGAGATCCGAGGGTCTTGCTCCCTCACTTTCTGGAATTTGGCTAATCATATCTCAAGTCTGTTGAATATAAGCTCCCACCATGCTAGACCACTGGAATAATTATAATTTAAAAACTCAGAAGCAGGCCTGAGCTGATGGAGGAGGACCTTTATAATTAAACAATATGATTTTGTAATAATTCACTGGACATATGAGTAGCTAAACTGGACTTGAGCAGGATTGGTGACCGAAACTTACAGAATACAATTTTTTTGGCAAATGGATGACACAACAGCCAAGTGTTTTCCATTAATTTCATCCAAAGATGGTTGGGTTTGGGGTGGCTATTTCCAGAAGTGGTTTAAAAGGGCACTGTGGAGAAAAGAAGAGCCCTGTGCGGAGCTGAGGTAAAAGTGTGAATGCTGGTAGGTTATCTGGGATGCATTAGTGAGCTGGTTTCCACTTGGAAAACTGGGGCTGAATCCCACTGAGAACATACAGGTTGCCATATAGAATCGGCCCAAGTCATAGAAAGCGGGATTCTGCAGTGTAAATTGTGAAGCTTCTCTGATTCCCTCCATGCATCCATAGAAGGGAGAATTATGGGGCTGCGGAAAAATCTACAGTGTGTGGAGACGCCCATTTTTCCATCCTCTTTCTTGGCCTGTATTCCAGGTGTTTTGCTATTGTCAACATTCTTGTATATGTCATCTTGTACATATGAAGGTGAGGGTGAGCTTCTTGGAAAGACCTTTAAGGCAGGTACAAACGTCTTAAGTGGTTTTCGTAATTACTACACCATCAGTAAGCAATGTAAAAGATCTCTAATATGCATGCCTTCTCCAACAGTCGGTGTGGTGACTGGCCTGACTTTAATACTCGGACCTTGGGTACAGTTTATTGCAGTCAGCTGGTAAGATAAAGGGGTTAATAAGCTCTTTCCCTTCCCACCCCTGCATAGCCAGTAGGCTTGGATTTTGCAGGTTAAATAGGCGCTTTACAGTTCTACCTGACACATCAAATGCCCGACAACTTAAAAAGTAAATTGACCAGTTTGACCAGCAAAACAGGTTTACTCTTTTGGGGAATAACCGGAAGAACTGCAACTCCACATACACACGCTACTGCCGACCATAGGCGAATCCAGAGTAACAAAGGAAGGGGCTTACTTTTATAAAGGAAAAGGGTGGTGTCGGGAAGGGGGCTGTAATAAAACAAGGAGTCCATTGGAGCAAACTGGGAGTCCAAAGTGTAGCGGTTTCTCATTGGTTGCGTTCCTCCAATCTCCTACTGGCTAAGCTGTTGCCAGGCCGGGGAGAGAAATCTTCCTTCCTCCTGCTGGGCGGTAAAGTAGGAAAGCCCTCCTGTCAGAGATGCAAGGCTACCTGTCTCCTTGTTTACAGAGAGCTCCCCTACAGGCCTTCCGAATTCCAACTTAGTGGAGGTTTCTCTTATTAATTTCACATGCCTGTCAGAAGGTCCCTGACATCGTACACTATAAAAATTCTAAATATGCGAAAGGAGCGTCTGGCTTCTGCTTAGCTCCGGATGTCAGTGATCAAATCCAGAGTTCACGGATACACAGCGTTTCTGGCGAAGCTCCTTGCGCATAAGTCTTCGTACTCGTAGTGACACCGGGCTCAGGGTTAAACGCCCAGGACTGAAAAGGTTAGAGCTAAGCATTCTGGGAATTGCAGTCCGGCTGACGGCGCACGGAGCTCTCTGGGAGTGAAAGGTGGAGGTGTGCTGTGCGCAGGTGCACTGTGACGTCTTTTGACGCCGAATGAGATGGTGTCCGCGGAAGAGGTGAGCCCGCCCACAGCAGAAGATAGAAGCCTGGTCTGAGACGGAAGTGGCTAGGCACAGGGGATCCCGGAAACTAAAAGTTTTCCACTTGCGTTGATTCTGCTCTGCTTCGCGGGCTTTTGTCTGCCCACAATAACTACCTTCTCGTCTTCTCTTGTAGCTGGGCCTGGTGGTTATATTATGCATAGAGTGAAATCCCACGTGACATCCACCAGTGCCCGTCCATGAGTCTTAAGACTAGACTTGCCTCCTCCAAATATTCAGCTGGAGAACGGAGAGAACATGAAAATTTTAGAACTGCTGTTGGAGGTGCTCACGCCGTTTGCTAATTAACCACAGTAAAATGCATCATGAAAAAGACGGAATGTAAACGTGAACATTTTAACAAAGGTCAGTGTGTCTGGTGGGGGAAAGGCGAGCACCGGCGGTACTATTCCGTTCCATCTCAATTTCTTTTTCTTTTATTTTTAAATTATTTTTTATTGAGTTAATGATATGTTACAGTCTTGTGAAATTCAGTTGTGCATTATTGTCTGTCAGTACAACCCCTTCCCCCTTTGTGCCCATCCCCCACCCCACCCTTCCCCTGGTAGCCACTAATCTGTTCTCTTTGTCTGCATTTTTAAATTCCTCATATGCGTGGAGTCATACAGAGATTGTCCTTCTCTATCTGGCTTATTTCACTTAACATAATTCCCTCAAGGTCCATCCATGTTGTTGCAAATGGGATGATTTTGTTCTTTTTTATGGCTGAGTAGTATTCCATTGTATATATATACCACATCTTCTTTATCCAATCATCTGTTGATGGGCACTTAGGTTGCTTCCATGTCTTTGCTATTGTAAATAATGCTGCAATGAACACAGGAGTGCATGGGACTTTTGGAATTGCTGATTTCAGGTTCTTTGGATAGATACCCAGTAGTGGGATAGCTGGATCTATGGTAGTTCTATTTTTAATTTTCTGAGGAATCTCCATACTGTTTTCCATAGTGGCCGCACCAGTTTGCATTCCCACCAGCAGTGTATGAGGGTTCCTTTTTCTCCACAACCTCTCCAACATTTGTTACTATTTGTTTTAGTTATTTTTGTCATTCTAATGGGTGTAAGATGATATCTTAGTGTAGTTTTGATTTGCATTTCCCTGATGCACAGCAATGATGAACATCTTTTCATGTGTCTGTTGGCCATCCATATAGCTTCTTTGGAGAAATGTCTGTTCATGTCTCCTGCCCATTTTTTGATTGGGTTGTTTGATTTTTTGTTGTTGAGTTTTGTGCGTTCTTTATATATTATGGATATTAAGCCTTTGTCAGATGTATTACTTCCAAATATTTTTCCCCAATTAGTGGGCTGTTTGTTTGTTTCAATCCTGTTTTCCCTTGCCTTGAAGAAGCTCTTTAGTCTGAAGAAGTCCCATTTGTTTGTTCTTTCTATTGTTTCCCTCGTCTGAGGAGTTATGGTGTCCGAAAAGATTCTTTTGAAGCTGATGTCAAAGAGTGTACTGCCTATATTCTCTTCTGGAAGACTTATTGTTTCAGGCCTAATCTTTAGGTCTTTGATCCATTTTGAGTTTACTTTTGTGAATGGTGAAAAAGAATGGTCAATTTTCATTCTTTTACATGTGGCTGTCCAGTTTGTCCAGCACCATTTGTTGAAGAGACTTTCTTTTATCCATTGTATGCCCTCAGCTCCTTTGTCGAAGATTAGCTGTCCATAGATGTGTGGTTTTATTTCTGGGCTTTCAATTCTGTTCCATTGATCTGTGCACCTGTTTTTGTACCAGTACCATGCTGTTTTGATTACTGTAGCTTTGTAGTATGTTTTGAAGTCAGGGATTGTGATGCCTCCGACTTTGTTCTTCTTACTCAGGATTGCTTTAGTAATTCGGGAACTTTTGTTGCCCCATATGAATTTTAGGATTCTTCAATTTCTGTAAAGAATGTCATTGGGATTCTGATTGGGATAGCGTTGAATCTGTAGATTGCTTTAGGTAGTATGGACATTTTAACTATGTTTATTCTTCCAATCCATGTGCATGGAATGTCTTTCCATCTCTTTATGTTGTCATCAATTTCTTTCAAGAAAGTCTTGTAGTTTTCATTGTATAGATCTTTCACTTCCTTAGTTAAATTTATCCCAACGTATTTTATTCTTTTCGTTGCTATTGTGTATGGGATTGAGTTCTTGAGTTCTTTTTCTGTTAGTTCATTGTTAGCATGTAGAAACGCTACTGATTTATGTATGTTGATTTTATACCCTGCAACTTTGCTGTAGCTGTTGATTGTTTCTAATAGTTTTCCTATGGATTCTTTGGGGTTTTCTATGTATAAGATCATGTCATCTGCAAACAGTGAGAGTTTTACTTCTTCATTGCCCATTTGGATTCCTTTTATTTCTTTTTCCTGCCAAATTGCTCTGGCCAACACCTCCAGTACTATGTTGAATAGGAGTGGTAAAAGTGGACACCCTTGTCTTGTTCCTGTTCTCAGAGGGATGGCTTTCAGTTTTTGTCCATTGAGTATGATGTTGGCTGTGGGTTTGTCATATATGGCCTTTATTATGTTGAGGTACTTTCCTTCTATACCCATTTTATTGAGAGTTTTTATCATAAATGGATGTTGGATCTTGTAGAATGCTTTCTCTGCATCTATTGAGATGATCATGTGGTTTTTGCTTTTCATTTTGTTAATGTAGTGTATCACGTTGATTGACTTGTGGATGTTGAACCATCCCTGTGTCCCTGGTATAAATCCCACTTGATCATGGTGTATAATCTTTTTGATGTATTGCTGTATTCAGTTTGCCAGAATTTTGTTGAGGATTTTTGCATGTATGTTCCTCAGTGATATTGGCCTGTAGTTTTCCTTCTTTATGTTGTCCTTGTCAGGTTTGGGGATCAGAGTGATGTTGGCTTCATAGAATGTGTTAGGGAGTGCTCCATCTTCCTCAGTTTTCTGGAATAGTTTGAGAAGGATAGGTATTAAGTCTTCTTTGAATGTTTGGTAGAATTCTCCAGAGAAGCCGTCTGGTCCTGGACTCTTATTTTGGGGGAAGTTTTTGATTACTGTTTCTATTTCTTTACTTGTGATTGGTCTATTCAGATTCTTTATTTCTTCCTGCTTCAGTTTGGGGAGGTTGTAAGAGTCTAGGAATTTATCCATTTCTTCTAGGTTGTTCGATTTGTTGGCATATAGTTTTTCATAGTATTCTCTTATGATCCCTTGTATTTCTTTGGTATCTGTTGTGATCAATTTTAGATTTTTTAATGGTATTAATTGGTTTGAAAAGATAAATAATTTTCATTTTGGAAGTTCAGATTTTGTTAAATGACATTGAAGTATAAACTTTCTTTTGCTCAGTCATTGCCAATACGTGGAAAAATTTTGAAATAACTCAAATAATGTTTTCCTTTTTTCTATTATTTATCAGCAAAAAAGTTGTTTCTTTTCAACGATCTTATATTATCTCCTGTTTTTTGAAGTCTTCTCATGTTTTCTAAAAGACTTTTATTATACCTACTTTTCACAATAGGTCAGGTATGTATGCAATTTTTTGTTTATTTATATAACACCTTCAGTTTCATTTCATTTCTTGGGAATGAACAATCTTTAATTTACTGCACCAATATTATGAGCTTAAACAATTTCCCTAATCCAGAACTCTTACATTAATGTTGCCTTGTCTATTCTACTCATTTTCTTTTTTTTAATCTATTTTCTTCTTCTTCTTCTTCTTCTTCTCCCCAAAGCCCCCCAGTACATAATTGTATATTCTAGTTGTGAGTGCCTCTGGTTGTGCTATGTGGGATGCCACCTCAGCATGGCTCGATGAGCAGTGCCATCTCTGTGCCCAGGATCCTACCTGGTGAAACCTTGGGCCACTGTAGCAGAGTGTGTGAACTTAAGCTCTCAGCCACAGGGCTGGCCCCTATTCCAGTCCTTTTCAAATACATTAGAGTCACCTGGAAAGCCTTTAGAATCTGATTGCTGGCCTCAGCTCCAGAGTTTCTGATTGAGTGAGTTAGTGTTAGCGTGCATAATTTGCATTTCTAACAGTTCCCAGGGATTGCTGATTCACCTGCTCTGGGAACTGTATTTGTGAAATACATACTGGATCTATCCCAATTTATCAAAGCCCACACAACTTATGAACATTTCTGTGCTCATGTTTATGCTTCATTCTGAGAAGTTTTTTTTCATTTCATTGACTCAGTTTATCCAAGAGTTTCAGCCAGGAAATGGTTTTGTCTGTTTTGTATCTAACTGATTTCAAAACTTTACAATTAACCAACAAAAGTTATGAAAAAATAGTTCAAAACTGTAGTCCTTTGGTCATTTTTAAATCTAATTCCTACCTGATAACTATCTATCAGTAATCCTGTTACCAGCTCTTAGTTAATACCAGCCCTGATATCAGTTCCCCTATGGTGATCCCAGCATATATGGGGTTAAAACCAAAAGCACACATTCCCAGTTCCCTGCTTCTTTAGTTACACTCATATGTAAATGTTTGTTTCTTTAACCTAGGACTCCCTGAACTTTACAACCAAATAGAAGGTACAAATTGTTAGAGCCCAGATGGCCTCAAGCTGGCCTCCTACTAATATTGTAGCTAATCACAGGACCTTTAAGTTCTTTTACAGAATAACTAATGTCCAGAGAATATCAAGAAACTGAAGCTTCCCAGAGGAATCCAGAGTCCACCACGGAGACAGACAGCCAAAGACATCACGGGATCCCTTATGTCTCTGCTCCCTGCAGGCAGCTGAAGGCTGGTGGGAAAACTCCCACCAAAGCTACATGTGCCCCTCCCCTACCTAAAACCCTAAATAAAAACACCTACCCATTTCTAGGGGCTGGCCCCTGGCCGAGTGGTTAGGTTCAGGTGCTCTGCTTCAGTGGCCCAGGGTTTCACTGGTTCAGATCCTGGGTGTGGACATGGCAGCGCTCATAAAGGCATGCTGAGGTGGAGTCCCACATAGCACAACCAGAAGGACCCACAACTAGAATATACAACTGTGTACTGGGGGTCTTTAGGGAGAAGAAGAAGAAGAAAAAGATTGGCAACAGATGTTAACTCCAGTGCCAATCTTTAAAAAGAAAAACCTACCCATTTCTTAATAGAGACCTAGCAATTCTTGAGGCACTAGCCCTTGCTTTGCTCCCTCTGCCTGGCAAAGGAAAGCCTTTCCTTTCCACTCAGGACTCAGTTCTTATTATTTGGATTGGCATCAGGTTCAGACTGAGCTTTTGGTTACATTACTACTCTAGTTTAAGCTGAGTAAATTCAGATTTTAATGGAAAACATGTAGGACTGTATAGACTGTGGTTAGTTTCACTCTGAAGACTTCACACAACTGTACATTATCTCACACGGAATTGTAGACTTTCTGCTTTGCTATTGTTCTGTTAGAATCAAATTGGAAAGAATGAGCAGCACAGTGCTGTATTGTGTTAGGTTTCAAAACTCTCAGAATCACTTTTTCTCAAATACATTCTTAAACGATGTATGAGGAGTACAGCAGAGCAAGACACACTTTCACATTCTAGCACCGACTATCAGCAAATATTTGTTTGGAGTGGGAAAATAATGATTAAATTCAGGAAGTAAAACAAGTTGAGTGAAGTGTAAAGAGTTCTTCTAGACTTACTCTTCTGACTCAAATACTTTATTAGTGCCTTCGATGCTGGCCATAAGTGTAGTAAAAACTCTTCTGACTTTAGCATTGAATACTTGTATATTTGAATACTTCCCTTCTAAAATAACGTGCTGGCTACATACAAAAAGATCTCAGTTTAAAGGTCATTGTCTCTTCAATTATTTAAAAGCCTTACCACTTTCTACTCTTGCACCTGCCAATATTATTGAAAAGTCTGAACTCAATTTCATTATTCTTCATGGGTGATCCATTTTTTCATACTATAAGTTTGTAAAACTTTGTCTTTAAAGTTCTTTTAGTTTTATAATAATTTTTATTTGGGTGTGGATCTTCCCTTTTGAACTCTTTCCTCCTCTCGGGAATATTTCCTCTTTTATTTGTATTATCATCTAGAGATAGATGACTTGCATGCATGAGATAGTAGGAAACACAACTAAACCATGGCACTGGAAAAAGATGGTACACAGAGAGCTAAATGAGCAATGAAGTGAGACAGAATTCTGACAGGCAGACCTGGTGTATGAGGGAGCGTTACACAAGATGTACATCACTTCAGAAATCAGTGATATACTGTGTGATGTTTAGTAGCCTGTGTCACTGCTCCTTTATTTAGTTAGTTAGTTAGTTATTTTTGAGGACGATTAGCCCTGAGCTAACATCTGCCACCAATTGTCCTCTTTTTGCTGAGGAAGATTGGCCCTGAGCTAACATCTGTGCCCATCTTCCTCTACTTTATATGTGGGACACCTGCCTCAGCATGCCTTGATAAGCAGTGTGTAGGTTCACGCCCAGGATCCAAGCCGGCAAACCCCAGGCCGCTGAAGCTGAGCGTGCAAACTTAACCGCTACGCCACCAGGCCAGCCTCTCACTGTTTGTTTAAATGGCCCCATGAGGCGAGCTGCCTTCAGTGTTTCCCATCAGGCAGAAAACCACAGAGTTAGTTCTCTCTGGACTCACTTTGCTACAGAATCACTGGCTTACTGATGCTTCTGAGAAATGCCAAACACAAGCCTGTGTTAGAGCTTTACCTTCATTATTTCTACTCTCTGTAAGCTCGTCCTCCCATCCCTTTGTGTCACATTCCTGCTGATACCTTCCCAGAACCTTCTTGCTTTGCACAGACCAAGAATGAAAGGATGGCCTCTCATTTCCCAGAGACCCCTCACCCATTTCACCACACACATGCACACTGCATCAAGGACCACCTGATACATGACAAAAGTGGAATTGCAATGGTTTCAAGCATATTAAGAATTTATTAGCAGAGGGGCCGGCCCAGTGGCGCAGTGGTTAAGTGCACACGTTCTGTTTCTCGGCAGCGTGGGGTTCGCCAGTTCGGATCCCGGGTGCGGACATGGCACTGCTTGGCAAAAGCCATGCTATGGTAGGTGTCCCACGTATAAAAGTAGAGGAAGATGGGCATGGATGTTAGCTCAGGGCCAGTCTTCTGCAGCAAAAAGAGGAAGATTGGCAGTAGTTAGCTCAGGGCTAATCTTCCTCAAAAAAAAAAAAAAGAATTTATTAGCAGAGTCAAGATACATATTACCTTGAGAAAAAAGTGTATCCATCATAGATGCATAATATTAAACAACATCCATGATGGATACACATCCATGTGTCAGTAAGAGTAAACATTGTCCATAACGGCTAAGTCCACCCTTTTCACTGCTGTGGCCATCGCTCTCATGCCAGAAGTTGGGCACACCGCCAGACAGCCAACATCAAGTCCCCACAATTCCAGGCCCAGAGGAAGTCCTCCCTGCACTGACCAAGTCCTCCTAGCAGGGCAAGGCCGCATTTCTACCTTCACATGTGGCTACCAGGAGGTGCCCAAGGAACCTGCCAGCCCTTGAGCCAGGTCTTCCCAGCCAGTCCCTTTGCCAGCCAGTTTCCAGCCTGGAGATCTGAGAGTGCAGGAGTGGTCCCACACTCAGGAGGGGACCTTCAGGGATCGAGGGGCAATGGTAGTCCCCATCTGGAGTCCCTGGTGTAAAAAGATAGTTGAATGCAAGGCAACCTCTAAAAGAAGGAGGCAGCTTTGTGCGTCTACCTGGTTGAGATAAGGACGTACCCGGTGTAAAATGAGGAAGCAGATTTAGGTTTTGCAAGATGTACTGTTAAGTCAGCAAAGCAAACTACAGATCTGTATACAAAGTATGACTTCCTTTTTACTAAGCAAAAAACAACTTGTTTTTATATAGGAATACATATGAATGCACAGGCACACATGTGGTGGCCTAGTTAAGATTCTGGCTCTCACCACTGGGGCTGAGTTTGTCTCCTGGTCAGGGAACCACATCACCCAAATATCAGATGTCATACTGTGGTGGCTGCATGTTGCTGTGATGCTGGAACCTGGGCCACAATATTTAAAATGCCAAGACTGTCACCCATGTTGGACAGCAGAGCTTCCAGACTAGACAGACTAGGAAGAAGGACCTGGCCACCCACTTCCCAAAAAATTAGTCATGAAAACCCTGTGAATAGCAGTGGAGCATTGTCTGATCTAGCATGGGAATCAACTGGAGGGAATTAACAAAAAAACAGTTACACACAGTTATGCATGAAACTGAGAATGAAGGAGTTAAAAAATCTTCCTTGGGCTAGAAGAGAAAAAAAAGGCTTTGAGATAAGCTTTGCTAACTGCAGCTGTGCACACTCAGCACAGTCAACTATTGTTCAAAACTAACCAGGTCTTTCTGTCCCTCCTTAGTCTATGAGTGAACTGTCTTTCCCAGGAAGTCAAGGTCCAGACGTCTAGATTCAGCCTCACAAGGCCAAACTCAGGCTCAAGATGAAAACTAATCAGAAAAGTCCAGACAGTCAAGGGAAAAGAAATTCAGTCTTCAAGGCCAAACGCAGGCTGGTGGGGAGGTGCCACTCACCAAGGCCACATGCTCCCCCTCCCCTACCAAAAACCCCTACCTTTCTCCCTTTGAGGAGGTGGATCTGAGTTTTAACTTCCATCTCCTTGTCTGGCTTCCTTTTTTGTTTTTTGAGGAAGACTAGCCCTGAGCTAACATCTGCCAATCCTCCTCTTTTTGCTGAGGAAGACTGGCCCTGAGCTAACATCTGTGCCTATCTTCCCCTACTTCCTACGTGGGACGCCTACCACAGCATGGCTTGCCAAGTGGTGCCATGTCCACACCCGGGATTCAAACTGGTGAACCCCAGGCTGCTGAAGTGGGAACAGGCGCACTTAACCGCTGTGCCACCGGGCCGGCCCCTGGCTTCCTTTTGACAATAAAGATCTTTCCTTGCCACAAGCCTGGCATTCCAGTTATTGGCTCTCCTGTGCAGCGAGTAAACAAACCTGTGTTTGTGTTTGGTAACATGCATCCATGTGCAGACAGAATTCTAAAAAGATACCATGCTGCAAACATCAGTTTTCTCCAGTAGAATAATCAGAAACTTTTGACTTTCAGTTTTATAAATGTACATAGTAGAGTACTTCTTAATAAACAACAGTAAATTTGATATTTTATACATTAAAAACTTTCCATGTATGTTGGAAAAAAGAGTGTGCATGTATAAAACAGTTATAACTATGTTATATGGATTTTTAAAATTCTATGTTTTATGGATACGGCAGTGTTTCTCTCTGACTTGGGCATAATCAGTAACTATACAGCAGGAGAGATGTTTTCTCTGGAGACTGGAGGCCCAGATCCCACCTTGTCCATCTGCTTCAGAGCCACCCAGTATCTCCTCCTCCTGTATCTTCTCCATCATGGCCCTCTTGGTGTCTTTTCTTATCACAGGCAGAATCTACTAAAGTTCACAAAAATAACTTTAATACTTCAGGCTGCATGCAATTGAAGTACAATAAGATAATGTTTATTTACTTCTAGCTACCAGTGGATGACCACTATAGTCCGCTTCATGGAGTCTGAAATAATGTCTAAACACTTAAGTGGTCAGTAGCGCTGAAGACTCTTAAGAACACTTAAGGGACCATCCCCGTGTCCCAGTGGTTAAGTTCTAGCGCTCTGCTTCCGTGGCCCAGGGTTTCGCTGGTTTGGATCCTGGTCGCAGACATGGGCCGCTCATCAAGCCACGCTGAGGCGGCGTCGCACATGCCACAACTACAAGGACCCACAACTAAAAATACACAACTATGTCCCCACATTGCTTTGGGGAGAAAAAAGGAAAAACAAAATCTTTTTAAAAAAAAAAAAAACACTTAAGACTCCCCAGAAATCGGCCTGCCGCCCCCTAAAGAGGAGCAAAGCCGCTTCCCAGCTCTGCAAGTAGAGCGAGGTCATTTCCCAACAGCCTTGCGCTGCTGCTTGGCCATTTCCCTGGCAGATAACTCTGCGCGGCTTCCTGGCCTGAGCGGCTGTGGGAACTACATTACCCAGAAAGCTATGCGTGGAGCGGCAGCGGCATTCGCCCAATGAAATTCCAGAGAGGGGGCAGTTCCGGGAGGACGAACCGCCTTGAGGCGGCAATTCTGGCGTTTTGTTGGCGGCTTTCGGGTCTATTCACCTGGTCAGACGCCTCCGAATCGCCAGGTCCGGACCGAGGTGGCGGCAGAGGAGGCGCCGTCCCCACGGCCCAGGCGGCTCTGAGGCTCGGCGACACCGCCCGGGGCCCCGCGCCAGGCCCGGGCCAGGGAGCGCCGCGCCCGGCGCCTCGTCTCCCGCCGCTCCCGGCCCCGCGCCGCCCCCAAGGCCGATGGCGGCGGCCGCGCGGAGGGAGCCGGCTCAGGTGAGCGCTCGGCTCCGGCCCGCCCCGCCCGCAGCGCAGCCCGAGCTCCAGCCCTCGGGCGGGCGCTGCTCCCGGGCCTGCAGCCCAGGCCCCGGGGCCGGGCCGGGGAGGCGCTCGTGGGGCCTGTGGCTGCGGGCGTGGGTCCCGGGCGGAGGGGGCGGAGGGGACCGGGTCCACGTTGTGTCCGCAGGGAACAGTGTGAGGACGGGTCCCGCCTGGACCGGCAGGGGAGGGGCTGCTCCTTCAGTCCGAGGGCCCCGGAGCCGGGAGGGCTGTGACCAGAGAGGGACGCGGTGCGTGTTGGGGTTTCAAAAGTTCTCCAGGAGCTGCTCGGAGAGAACGGACGGGAAGGGGTGAGGAGGCCGGGGAGGCGCAGGGAGCGGAGTCCTGGTCCGAGGGCGCAGAGCTGTTCCGAGGCAGCTCTGAGGAGTGAGGTCCGGAGGCCAGTGAGTGAAGCCGAGGTCACCGGGTCGCAGGGCGGGGCGGGGTCCAGCCGTGGTGGCCTGCCTCTCTCCTGCGACAGAAAAAGCACTTACGGAACCTGCACAGGGAAGGAGAGGGTGTCCCAGCCCCTCAGTGGTACTAACACCAGCCGTGTGGTGTCTGGAATTGTGGCGTCCTGAAACTCACCCTTTCTCCCACCTGTTGGGTCTGCGACCCTTGGCATACTCCATGTCCAGACTCCTGAGTGAGGCCAAGGGTAACATGGAGGTGTTCCCATTTCTTTCTTTCTTTTTTTTTTTTTTAAGATTTTATTTTTCCTTTTTCTCCCCAAAGCCCCCCAGTACATAGTTATGTATTTTAGTTGTGGGTACTTCTAGTTGTGGCATGTGGGACGCAGCCTCAGCATGGCCTGATGAGCGGTGCCATGTCCGCGCCCATGATTCCAACCGGTGAAACCCAGGGCCCCGGAAGCGGAGCCGGCGAACTTAACCAGCGGGCCCCAGGAGGTGTTCCTATTTCTGACACCCAGTATAAACAGCTGTGGAAGGTTACCCCAGGAACGGACACCAGCGTGTGCAAATGCTTGGAGGTGTGACTGAGCTGGAGACAGGGGACAGCAGGTCTCCTTTCTGTGAAGAGCAAAGAGCAGGGAGTCAGGAATCAGTCCTGCAGTGTGGCCGTCTGAGCAGTTGGGCATCTGTTAGGGAGATAACGGGAGGCTCGGATACGAGGAAGGAGTTGGTCTTGCCTGGATTTAACAGGCTCCGTCTGGCTGCACAGTGGAGACTAGACTATGGGGTTAAGGGAGGAGGCAGGGAGCACGGAGGAGACAGCTGCTATAACCACATGAGTGTTGATGGACCGGAGTGGTGGCCATGGAGGTGGGAAAAAAGTTGGACACTCCGTCCATTTTTTTTTAAGAAGGGTCAAGTAGATTTTTGGACGTTATAGCTGAGGGAGAGGAAGTCAGGGATGACTGCAGTTTTTCTGGTCCTAGCAGCTGAAGGAATCGAAGCTCCCACTGGGATGTGGAAGTTCATGATAGATTAATTTTCCTTGAGAGTATCACAAGATTTTTTTGACCCTGTTAAGTGTCTGAGATGTTTCAGAGAACAGTGGTGGCATCAAGTGGGCAGCTGGACACACAGGTCTGGAAATCTCAGGAAGGGTTCAGGACGGAGATAATGAAAACTGGTGGCTGTTGTGTGGACCAGGAAGGAGCTGTACTCCCCATTAGGTGGGGGAATGCAGGTCGTCCTGGCAATGCTCTTAGCTGGTCTGAAGGAGGAGCATGCATGATGAGGAGTGGTTTTCTCGCTGTGCACCTAGTGAGGTGCAGTGGTGCACACAAACCCAGGTGAAGGGGAGAAGTGACCATGGTAACCATATGGGAGACAGCATGGTCTGGCAGGTGACTAAGGCTTCTGTGGGATGAGTGGACATGAGATGGCTGTGGAGGCAGAGGAGTAACTGAGACAGGATGATGCTGAGCCAGGGCTCCTGCTCATTCACTGATGTACACCTTCACCAGAGTTGTGTGATAAGCTTTGGTGGGGTCTGGGGTGTTCAGTGTTGATGGGGGGTAAGGTGTGGGGCACGTGTGGTCATTTGTGAGAGTCACTGTGCCTAGCACAGAGACCATCAGGGCTGGGGCTCTAAGGAAGGTTGGAGACGGGAGGTTGTGTATCTGAGAAGCACAGAAGTGGAAGTAGGCTAGGGGCATCTGTAGCTCACATGTGCTTCTCAGGGGCTGATGTTGAGAAGGATCAGAGGTGTAGAGGAGGCCTTCAGAGCAGCACTTGGGGATTTCCCTAAATGCAGAGCTGGGAGTGCAACTGTGGGCACTGAAGACGTGAGAGGTACAATCTATGGAATGACATGCACATCGACAGGAAGCGTGAGCCGATGGCCCTCGGGCCCTGGTATTGGAGACTGAAGGGCGAAGTATGAGCCCACGTTTGGCTGCGTCTTGGAGTCCAAGTCTAGAGTCTCCAGGGGAATTGACTGACAGAGTGGATGGGACCCTACAGGCCAGGACCAGAGCTTGGATGACATCTCTGTGCCCCACTACCTGATGTTTCTGAGGGCTGAACACAGTGAATAAGGGGACCCTGAGGATAGGGTGGGCCTCAGTGGCACCTGGCCTGGAATTCCTCTGAGGTGGGGAGCTGGGGGGGAGGATGAGTGTGGGGTAGATGTGTGGTGAGATGGATTGTGGGATCTCAGAGAGAGTGTTGATGTTTTCATCTGTCCCTGTCATTACAGGACAGTGTGATCTTTCACGATGTTGCTGTGTACTTCTCCTGGGGGGACTGGAGGCTCCTGGATGAGGCTCAGAGACGCCTGTACCTGGATGTGATGCTGGAGAACTTTGTGCTCATATCCTCTCTGGGTAAGACTTGGAACAGCCTCACCAGTGACCTGGACTAAGCTGTATTCCCTCCCCACAGTGCTTCTCAGTCGTTTTTCTCATGGACTGTGGACACCGCTTGCTCCCCCAGCTTGGGTGGTGGTGTGTTGCTAGGGCTGGGTATGTGTACCGCCCTGTTCTCTCCCCTGCAGCCCCAGTACCTGCTGTACGGAGCCCTCTTAGGAAAGGCATCCAGGCTGGGGGTATTGCAGTGAGCTTCGCGGATTCCACCGAGCTTGCCCTCTCTGGGTCATTGTGTCCAGATCCATATCACTTCTGTATCCCAGGCTTTGTTCCTTCTTTTCCCTGACATTTCCTCATGGCCACTTGTGCCAGGCATGAGACATTGTCATGGTCATTACTTACCTGAACCATGGGATGCTTTTCAGTGCCCTCCTACATGGTTTGTAGTGTTTAGATCTGTTTTCTCTGTTTCTTTTTTTTTGTCAGGCTTGTCTAGATGTAAAATTGTATACAGTCATCTCTTGGTATCCATGGGAGGATTGGTTCCAGGACCCTCCCCCCCCATACTAAAATCCAAGGGTGCTCAAGTTTCTTAAATAAAATGGCATGGTCTTTGCATATAACCTACACACATCCTCCTGTGCTCTTTAAATCATCTCTAGATTACTCATGATACCTAATACAATGTAAATGCCATGTACATAGTTGCCTACACATCACTTTATTCACGTGGATTCAGCATAGTGCTTGGTGCATGGCAAATTCAAGGTTTGCTTTTTGGAACTTTCTGGAATTTTCTTTTTTCAAATTTTTTTGATCCTTGTTTTTTTTTTTTCATGGATATGGAACTCATGGTTATGGAGGCTGACTGTATATTAACATATACAACATGTTGATTTGATATGTGTATACATTTTGAAATAATTGCCACAATGAAGTTAATTAAACATCCATCACCTCATAACTTACCTTATTATTGTGGTGTTGTTAAGAGTGCTTAAGATCTCGAAATAAGTTTCAAGTGTACAATACAGTATTTATTAACTGTAGTTTCCGTGCTGTACATTACATCCTTAAAACTTACTCATCTTGTGACTGAACATTTGTACCTTTTGACCAGTGTCTCCCCATTTTCCCCATGGCCCAGATGATGGCAATTTATACTCTGTGTCTATGATTTCAATTTTTTTTTTTTTTTTTACATTCCAACCCCCAGTGAGTAAGGGTTCCCTTACATCTACATCCTCACCAAAAATTCTCTATGCTCTTTTTGATGGTAGCCGTTTTATCAGGTGTGAGGTGGTATCTGCCTGTGGTTTAGATTTGTATTATTTGCCTGATGATTAGGGGGGAGGGGCATTTTTTTCATATACCTGCTGGCCATTTGTCGATCTTCTTTCATAGAACATCTGTTCATGTCCTTTGCCCATTCATTTTTATTTATTGTTTATTTTTTTAAGGAAGTTTAGCACTGAGCTAACATCCTCCACCAATCCTCCTCTTTTTGCTGAGGAAGATTGACCTTGAGCTAACATCTGTGCCCATCTTCCTCTATTTTATATGTGGGACGCCTGCCACAGCATGGCTCCATGAGCAGTGCGTAGGTCAGTGCCGGGATCCGACTTGGTGAACCCCAGGCCGCCAAAGTGGATCACCCGAACATAACCGCTACACCACCTGGCTGGCCCTACTTTGCCTATTTTTAATTGGAGTGTTCTGCTGCTATTGAGTTGTATGAGTACTTTATATTTTTTATATATTAACTTCTTACAAGATACAGTGTTTTCAAATATTTTCTCCGTTTTCATTTTGTTGATTGCTTCCTTTGCTATTAAGAAGCTTTTTAAATTTGATGTAACCCAACTCGTTTGTTTTTGCCTTTGTTGCCTGTATTTTGGTGTCATATCCCAAAAAATGGTTGTGAAAATCAACATCAAGGAGCTTTCTATCTGTTTTTTTCAAAGCGTTTTACATTTTCATGTCTTACATTTAAGTCTTTAATCCATTTCAAGTTAATTTTTGTGAGTGGTGTAAGGATCCCAGTTTCTTTTTTTGGCATATGCATACCCATTTTCCCAACACCATTTATTGAAGTGACTATCCTTTCTCCATTGTGTATTCTTGGCACCATTGGCAAGGAGTAGTTGATCATATATGCGTGGCTTTATTTCTGGGCTCTATATTTCATAGATCTGTGTGTCTCTTTTTTCAGTACCATACTATTTTGATTACTGTTGTTTTGTAATGTAGTTTGAAGTCATGAAGTGTGATGCCTCTAACTTTGATCTTGATCAAGATTGCTTTGGATTGTTGAGGTCATTTGTGGTTTGAATTTTAGGATTCTTTTTCTATTTCTAGTAAAAATGCTGTTGGAATTTTGGTAGAGATTGCATTGAATTTGTAGATTGCTTTGGGTAGTAGAGACATTTTATCAATCATAATTCCTCCAATCCAAAAGCTTGGAATATCTTTCCATTTATTTGTGTCTTCAGTTTCTTTCATCAGAGCCTTACAGATCTTTTGCCTCCTTGATTAAACTTATTCCTAAGTATTTTATTGGTTTTAATGTTGTTGTAAATGGAATTGATTTCCTAATTTCTTATTGAGATATTTTGTTGTTAGTGTATAGATGCAACTGATTTCTGTATATTGATTTTATGTTCTGCAAGTTTACTGAGTTCATTCATTCATCGTGATAGTTTTTTATTGGAGTTTTTATGGTTTTCTTTATATAAGATCATGTCATCTGCAAACACAGTGTAACTTTTTTCTGATTTGAATACCTTTCATTTGTTTTTCCTACCTTACTGTGCTGGCTAGGACTTGAAGTATTGTTTTAAAAAGCAGTGGTGAGGGTGGGTATCCTTGTCTTGTTTCAGTAATGTGGTGTATCACATTCATTGACTTGCTTATGATGAACATCCTTGCATCCCAAGGAGAAATCCCACTGGGTCACAGTTTATGATTCTTTTTATGTGCTGTTGAATTGGATTCCTTTTATGTGCTGTTGAGGTTTTTTTTAACAGATCTGTGTTCGTCGGGGATGTTAGCCTTTAATTTTCTTTTTAGTGTCCTTGTCTGGTTTTGGTATCAGGTGAATGCTAGCCTCCTAAAATGAGTTTATAAATGTTCCTTCCTCTTCACATTTTTGAGAGTTTGAGAAAAATTGATGTTAATCCTTCTTTAAAATGTCAATAGAATTCATCAGTGAATCTGTTTGTGACCTTTTCATTTGGAGATATTTGGTTACTGATTAAATCTCCTTACTTGTTATTGGTTTATGCAGATTTTTTATTTTTCATGATTCAGTGTTGGTAGGTTGTATGTTTCTAGGAATTTATCTCTTTCTTCTAGGTTATCTAATTTGTTGGTACATAACAGTCCGTAGTAGTCTTAGGATCTTTTGTGTTTCTATGCTGTCAGTTGTGATTCCTCCTCTTTTATTTCTGAGTTAATTTGTTCGTGTTTTCTCTCTATTATAAGTTAATCTACCTAAAAATTTGTCAATTTTTCTTTTCAAAAAACTAGCTTTAGTATTAGTGATCTTTTTGATGTTTTTATAGTTTCTTTTTTATTTCTGTTCTTATCTTTGTTTCATTGTTTGTTCTGCTAACTTTGGTCTTAGTTTGTTCTTTTTCTACTTCCTTGAACTATAAACTTAGGTTGCTTATTTGAGACCTTTCTTTTTTCTTAATGCCAGCATTGATCACTCTAAACTTTCCTCTTAGAACTGCTTTTGCACATTCCACATGTTTTGTTGTCGTTTTCATTTGGTTTGTCTCAAGGTATTTTTTTATTTTCCTTTTGATTTTTCCTTTGACCGATTGATTGGTCAGGATTGTGTTGTTTAATGTCCACATATTTGTGAATTTTTCAGCTTTCATCCTGTTACTGATTTCTAGCTTTATCTGTTGTGTTAGGAAAAGATACTTGATGTGATTTCAGTCTTCCAAAATTTAAGACTTGTTTGACATAACATATGATCTGTCCTAGAGAATATTCTGTGTGCACTTGAGAAGAATGTGTATTCCACTATAGTAGGATGGAATGTTCTCTGTATCTCTGTTAGATCCATTGGGACTAAAGTGTCATTTAATTCAAATATATCCGTATTTATTTGTTTGGATATCCACCCATTGTTGAAAGGGGGATACTGAAGTTCCCTATTAATATTCCATTGCCATCTTTTCTGCCTTCAGATCTGGTTGTATTTGCTTAATAATTTAGATGCTGTGATGTGTGGTGCATATATACGTACAGTTTTTACATTCTCTCGATGAATTGACTCCTTTATCATTATATAATGACCTTCTTTGTCTCTTGTGACAACTTTTGACCTAAAGTCTTTTATCTCCTGTAAGTATAGCTGCCCATGCTCTTTGGTTTCCATTTGCATGGAATATCTCTTTCAATCCCTTCACTTTCTCCTGGGTGTGTCCTTAAAACTGAAGTTACTCTATTGTAGGCAGCATATCGTTGGATCTTGTTTTTCTTTTTCTGTTCAGCCACTGTATGTTTTTGACTGGAGAATCTTATTAGGACTTACTGTTGCCATTTTGTTAAATATTGTCTGCTGTTTTGTAGTTCCTTGGTTCCTTTCTTCCTCTCTTGCTGTCTTCCTCTGTGATTTTCCATGATGGTATGCTTTCATTCCTTTCTCTTTTGTATATCTACTATAGGTTTTTCCTTTGTGGTTACCATGAGACATATATAATATCTTATATTTATAGCATCCTGTTTTAGGCTGATAACAACTTAACTTTGGTCACATACAAAAACTCTACTCTTACACTCCCCCCCATACATTCTGTGTTTTTGATGTCACAATTTACATCTTTTATATTGCGTAACCATTAACAAATTATTGCAGGTATAGTTATTTTTCATACTCTTTACCTTTTATCCTTCATAGTAGATTTGAATGATTAACACGCTATTACAGTATTAGAGTGTTCTGAATTTGACTATATACTTACTTTTGCCAGTGTGTTATATATTTTTGTGTTACTAATTACTGTACTTTCGGTTCAGCTTGAAAAACTCCCTTTAGCGTGTCTTGGAGGGTAGGTCAGGTGGTGATGAATCCCTCCACTTCTGTTGGTCTGGGAAAGTCTTTTTCTCTCCTTCATTTCTGAAGGGCACCTTTGCTGGTAAAGTATTCTTAGGTTGCAGTTTTTTTCTTTCAGCGTTTAGAACATCATCCAGCTCTCTCCCAGTATGCAGTATTTCAGCAAAGAAAACCGCACATATCCTTATGAGGGTTCCCTTGTATAAGATGAGTTTCTTTTCTCTTGCAGTTTTCAGCATTCTCTTTATCATTACTGCTTGAGTTTTATTATATGTCTTGGTGAAGTCTTCTTTGGGTTGAATTTTTGGGGGGACTTATGGGCATCATGTGCCTGGATGTCCACTTCTCTCCCCAGATTTGAGGAATTTTCATCCATTATGTCTTTCAATAAGCTTTCTCCCCCTTCCCCTCTCCCTTCTCCTTCTTGGGCTCCCATAATGCAAATATTGTTTTGTTTCATAATGTCCCATAATTCAAGTAGGTTTTCTTCACTCTTTAGTTCTTTCGTCTCTTTTCTTCTTTGGATGATTTCAGTTTCAGATTCATTCTTTGGATTGATCAAGTTGGCTATTGATGCTCTCTATTGCATTTTTTCATTCATTATAGTCTTCAGCACCATCATTTATGTTGGGTCCTTTTTTATATTTTCTATCTTTCTGTTGAAAATCTCATTTTGTTTGCATGTTGTTTTCTTTATTTTCTTGAATTGTCTGTTTCTGTTTTCTTGTAGCTCGCAGAGCTTCCTTAAAACAATTACTTTGTATTCTTTGTCTGATGGTTCATAGATCTACATTTCTTTGGTGTGACTGATGGTTTACCGTGTTCTTTTGGGGGTGTCATGTTTTCTGGATTTTTGTATTTCTTGCAGCCTTGTGCTCATGTCTATGCAATACATGGAGCAGTCACTTCTTCCAGATTTGACTGAAAGGTTTTGGTTAGGAAGCTTTTCACCTGTATGAGGGTGTATCTGTACCATCTCAGTGGGTTCTGGCAATTCCTACTACAAGAAAGCCCAGCAGCTTAGTGTCTGTGCAGGTCTGTCACCTGAGGTCAGCATCAGCAAAGATTGCAGGGGTCCTCAACAGCTAAGGCTGTGGGTGTCCTCAGCAGTGGAGAATTCTGCTAGGGATTTCCTGATCTTTTTCCCATGGGAAATATTTTGACTGAGGGGTCCCTCTTGATGCCAAGTCTGGCTTTTGGGTGCCTTCGTGGTGGTGGTGGCATTGGTGTCTGATGTGCAGGCACCTGTGGTGCAGGTATGGATCTGGGTTCTAGGGTATGAACAGATGCAGAGCAGTAGCAGTTCTAGGGTCCCAGGTGCTGAATAGCCTGCAGTGACATTGAGTTGACTCTGTAAGATGTAGTCACACACTGAGCAGTGATGGAGCCTGTAACCAGAACATGGGTGAATACAGAGAGACAGTGTCTCTGGGGTCTGAGTAGCTAGCTAGCCCACAGCAGCCATGACTCTGGTGTCTGGGGTACAGGTGCTTGAGTGACAGCCACGCAGTCAGGTTATGGAGTATGGGCAACCATGGAGCAGTTATGGCTCCAGTGTCTGGGATGTGTGCAAGGTTGAGAGGGGTAACAGCTGTGGTCCTGAAACAGAGCAATATCTCCTTTGGGTGGGGGCACCTCAGCATATTATCCTCAGGCAGGTCTCCTGTGGCAATAGCTGTTGGTTGCCATAATGGGAAACCTGCCACTGTTCTCTGCAGAGCAGGCAACTGGCATCTGTGGCTATAAACACTCGGCCTCCTCTGCTCTGCACACTATAGGTTCCGCAGCTCTAGTGGGGGCTGAGGAGGTTCTCTGCAGCAGAGGCTACTGGGGTCCTCTGCAGAGCAGGCCACTGGGGACCATGATGGCATCTGCCTTTTGGCTGATACACACAGCCCTACCCTTCTTCCTGTTCCTTTTCATCTCCAGATCCACTAAGTAGATGTCCCCAGTAATCCTTTTTGAGTGGTTATTTACTTTTTTTCTTCCATTGTGTTGCTGTGGTATCTTAATTGGGCTCTTGAGCCCTCCAAAGGCCAGTGTTATGCATAGATAGCTGTCTAATTGTGTTTTGCTGGAAGCAAAGGCTGACTTTCTCTGACATCACGATGACATCACTCAGCTAGATCTGTTTTCTGTGGTCTGTTGTAGGCTGTGTTGCTCTAGGACAGTGCTGGCCATTCACCTCTCCTGTCATTCCCTTAGGACTTATATTCTCCATGTCCCACATAGTTGCTCAACTAAGGCTTAGGAGGAAGAGTTCTATGTGTGGGACAGGATGGACATCACTGCAGCCATGGCAGGTTGGGCTCAGAGGGGGCCTGCCCTGCTGAGTGGCAGCTGGGGAGGGTATGATATCAGGCCTATGTTTAGAACATAGCAGGAGCCTGTCCTGTTCAACCAGATTTGGTGCCATTGCCCGTGGCCACACCCCATTTCTACCTTTCCTTTCCCATATTGACACTTTGCCAATTCATCAATTCTAGTACTCGTCACTTCCTCTGTGACTTCCAGACCAGACGTAACTCCACCTCTCTGGATTCCACATGCGACCCTTTTCTCTCAACACCTTCTGCAGTGCTCTCGACGGTTGGCCCTCACATGTTGGGCCATGAGTTGTGAACATATCCTTAAATTGACCTTGTGCAGCAGCTAATCTATTGTGAGTGGATTTCCGTAGGCTTGGCTGCACTTTCTACTAAACCTCACATCAGCAGCAGAAAAGGTCCTGCAGGAAGCTGTGGGCAGAGAACAAGTTGTAGACCCTGCTTCTCTTCCTTATGTTTTTGTATCCTTGCACTGGTAAGGTCTCCACCAGTCAGGGACCTTAGAGGCCCAGTAATGCGCAGCAACCAGCTTCCCCCTCAACTGGATTCCAACTCCCTTGCCTTGAAAAGCATCCCATAGATTCACTGTGAGATGAGACAGATGCTCGTTTGTGCTGGGGTTGCCCCTCCCTGTGGTCAACATGTATTTCACCAGGGTTTCTTTGCCTTCAGGTTGCTGTTGTGGAGCAGAGGATTTGGAGGCTCCCTTTGAACAGAGCATTTCTGTAGAAGTTTCAACTGCCAGGGCTCCCACGGCAGCCCCATCTTCCCAGAAGACCCACCCCTGTCAGATGTGTGGTCCAGTCTTGAGAGACATTTTCCACTTGGCTGAGCAGCAGGGAACACAACACAGCCTGAAACTGTTGAGGTGTGGGGCTTGTACAAAACAGTTTTATTTCAGTGCAAAGTTTCAACAGCACCAGGAGCAGCACATGGGAGACAAACCCTTCAGAAGCAGTGTGGACACGGCCTCGTTTGTGAAGAGCTGCAGATTCCATGTGTCAGGGAAGCCCGTTCCCTGTGGGGAGGTTGGGAAGGACTTCCTGGCAAGCTTGGGACATCAACAGCAGTAGACCACTCATACTGGGGAGAAGCCAGACAAAATCACCCAATGCAGGGCCACTTTACCAGGCAAAAATAGTCGTTATACCTGGGGAGAATGCAAGAAGGCCTTTGGTCCCAAACATATACTTGTTCAGGACCAGGGTGTTCACACTGGAAGACAGTATTTTGTGTACCATGAATGTGGTAGGACATTCAGGTACAAATCCTCATTTGTTGTGCACCAGAGAGTCCACCCTGGAGGAAGCCTTCATGTGTGTGGAGAATGTGGCAGATCTTTTATCCGAAGTTCAACCCTCAGTCAACACCAAAGAATTCATACTGGGGCAAGACTGTGCAAGTGCAGCAAATGTGGGAAATCCTTAAGCTACCAATCTTTCCTCAGTCATCCCCAGAGGGGGCACAATCGAGAGAACAGCTATGTCTGCAGTGAATGTGAGAAATCTTTTAGACATAGCTCAATATTCATTCAGTACAAGAGAGTTCAAATTGGAGAAAAGGCTTATAAGTGTAGTGACTGTGCAAAATCTTTTACCTCTAGTGCTGCCCTCAGTTATCATCGAAGAGCTCACACAGGAGAAAGGCCTTATGAGTGCAGTGATTGTGGGAAATCTTTTTTCTCTAGGTCCATCCTCCATTATCATCAGAGAGTTCATTCTGGAGACAGACCTCACAAGTGCAATGAATGTGGGAAATCTTTTATCACTCGTACTGCTCTCCATTATCATCACAGAGTTCACACTGGAGAAAGGCCTTTTGAGTGTAGTGCATGTGGGAAGTGCTTTACCCAAAAACATAACATTATACACCTAAGAGTTCGCTCAGGAGAAAGGCCTTATGAGTGTGCAGAATGTGGGAAATCTTTTACTTTTAGCTCCAGCCTTCATTATCACCACAGAGTTCACACAGGAGAAAAGCCTTATGAGTGCCATGAGTGTGGGAAATTTTTTAACAATGGGTGGACACTCATTCAACACCAGAGAATTCACACAGGAGAAAAGCCTTATATGTGCAGTAAATGTGGGAAATCTTTTACCTTCAGCTCCACCCTCCAGTATCATCAGCAAGGTCACCTTGGAGAAAGGCCTTATGAGTGCAGTGAATGTGGGAAATCTTTTACTACTAGCTCTGCCCTCCATTATCATCACAGAGTTCACACTGGAGAAAGACCTTATGAGTGCAATGAATGTGGGAAATCCTTTAAGGACAGATCACAATTCAATAAACATCAGAGAGTTCACACTGGAGACAGGCCTTATGAGTGTAATGAATGTGGGAAATCCTTTAGCCAAAAATCTTCCCTCTCAATACACCAGAAAATTCATAATAGAGAAAGGCCTTATGAGTGCAGAGAATGTGGGAAATCTTTTACCTCTACCTCTGGTCTTAGTTATCATCAGAGAGTTCACTCAGGAGAAAGGCCTTATGAATGTGGTGAATGTGGGAAATCTTTTATCTTTAGCTCCAAACTCCGTTATCATCAGCGAGTTCACACTGGAGAAAGACCTTATGTGTGCAGTGAATGTGGGAAATCTTTTTTCAGTAGTGACACTCTCTCTTATCATCTGAGGGTTCACGCAGGAGAAAGGCCTTATGAGTGCAGTGAGTGTGGGAAATCTTTTACCTCTAGTTCCACCCTCCGTTATCATCAGAGAGTTCACACAGGAGAAAGACCTTATGAGTGCAGTGAATGTGGGAAATTTTTTATCTCCAGCTCCAACCTCCGTTATCATCAGAGAGTTCACACTGGAGAAAGGCCTTATGAGTGCAGTGAATGTGGGAAGTCTTTTATCTCTGGATCCAAACTCCGTTATCATCAGAAAGGTCACACAGGAGAAAGGCCTTATGACTGCAGTGAATGTGGGAAATTTTTTATGTGAAAATCCATCCTCTCTAGACATCGGAGAGTTCACACTAGAGAAATGCCTTAGATGGGCAGGGAATGTGCAGTTTCCTGTTTAGTGGAATTAGACTAGTGGAAACTCTGTGAGGAGCCATCTGTTCGAATTGGTTCTCATGCATCTGAACATGCATGGTGGGGAGATTTCCTATAGGTGTCAGTTACGTGGGAAGCTTCTGTAATATGTTGCTCTTTCTAACTTGTCCAAGGATCCTTTCAGATTTATGCCACTCCTAGTTTCTGTGACCAAAGCCATTTCACCTGTGCCATCTGACAGGTCACAGTGTGCATAAGTCACCACCCCAGTGTGCTCAGGGAAGCTGACCTCTGTTCTCCCATGAATTAGAGCAAGTTAGGAGTCACCTGAGCCCTCAGGGGTCAGCTTTCCCTCTGCCTTGACTACCTTGCACATGGACCTGAGTCACTGTTGGCCCAGAAAATACCACAAGTAGGGCTGGCAGTTTGCACAGAATGACTAACTTCTTCAGGACATGTGATGTCACATGATACTTGGGATGAATTGTTCCAGCTGCCAAGTCACAAACTAGAACTACCTGCTGCATGTTGCTTTGTCTTGTACAACAATGATGGCCTTATAATTTAAATCCTCTTTAATCTTAGGTGTTCTATTTACTGTGTGGGGTAGTTCATAAACAGATTCAGGCTCTACAAGCATGAAGGGGTGAACAACTTTTTATGGGTCTCAAACTTAGCGTGCCTGAGGAGAGACAGTATGATGACAGAAAATAACTTCTCAGTTTTGAGCAAATTTCCATTGCTCCCAAAGCCTCCCAGGAAAGACTGCAGGGTTTTCTGGTCCTCATCTGAGGCCTGGATGCTGTGATTCAGGAGGCTCAGTGATGACCCTGAGGAGAGGGTGTGAGAACCTCAAGTGGATCTGAGGGCAGCATGACCTTTTTCCCTTCACAGGAGGTCTCACAGGGGACGTCAGCACTGTGGAGGGGATATCTTCCCATCTACAAAGAGCCATGTGGCCTGGTGTCCACAGGTCATTGGGAAAAAGTCACTAGTTGTAAGACTGTTGGGTCTAGGGGAAACCATAATTGGTGGAGAAACACTGGCTTAAGAGAGTGGAGGAGACTTCAGCCAAATAGATGGAATGTGCCTCTTCTAAAAGTGCATCCAGGAATAGTTCTGTGACAGTGACTGTGCAGGATCAGTTTGTACACAAGTCTAAGGATTGCCAGGCATGTTTATCTTGTGTAGCTGAAGTCACTGTCTGAGAATGTAATAAAAATAATTGAAAGGTTTTGTGGATTTCTGTATCCTCTCAGTGATGTTCAACTCAAGGCCATTACTGCACAAGGAGGAAAAAAAGAGAAAAAGGGTATTTGTGGTTGACAGAAGGGGCTCTTGTGACCCAGGCAGCGTTCCTGTTGAGTGAGGTGGCAGTGTCCTTCATTGCTTCCCATATTTGCTACCACTGAAGGAAGACTGCCCCCTGAGGGCATGAGGAGAGAGTTGGTGGAGTCGGTATAGTGCTAATGCCATTCAGCAGTTCAATTCCAACTTCTAGAGATCCTGTGAACAGCAGAGTGGAACCCTGCCCAGTGTTTTCGCCCATCCTCTCACTTTTTGCACCATATCAAACAAAGCTTCTCTGCTATTTATAGGGTTTTCATGGCCAGTTCTTTTGGAAGTGTGTTCACGTACTTCTTCCCAGTCTGTCTTTGTCAGAAAGCTCCGCTGGAGACCTATCCACCGTGGGTGATGCTGCTGGTATTTGAAATACTGGTGGGAAAGCCTTCAGTATCACAGCAACACCAGCCACCACATTATGACAACTGACAAATAGGTGATAGGGTTCCTTGAGTGGAAATGAACCCAGCCCAGCAGTGACAGTGCTGAATTTTAACTGCTAGACCACCACAGTGTTGGGTTGTAAGCTTATTTTCCAAAAAGAGTGGGATGTACAGATATTTCTTCTCTAGAGCCTATTTTTAAGACTTTATTACAGTGTAATTTACATGTACTAAACTGCATGTAAAGTGTAAAATTCGACAAGTTTTGACATAGGTATGAACCTCTGAAACTATCATAGCCCTAATGTATCTTGATATCTTTACCTCATGTACTTTTATAATCTCTTCACCCTTCCCACCTCTCCAGCTAACAATTTACTTTCTTACAATAGATATCTTCCCATTTTCTTGAATTTATGAGTGGAATCATAAACTGTTTATTGTACTTTTTTTCTGATTTCCTTTGTTTGATAATTAGAGATTCACCAATGATAGGTGAGTAGCTCATCTTTTGCTGAGTAATATTTTTTGGATATATCACTGTTAGTTTATCTGTTCATCTGTTTATGAGCTTTTAGGTTATTTCTAGATTTTATAATAAAGCTGTTAGAAACATTTGTGTCAGTTCTTATACAATGTGTTTCTTTTATCTTTTGTCAATAAGTAGAGGGCAATGTCTGAGTCACAGGGTAGATGAATGTTTAACTTGAAGAAACTGCCAGACTGTGATCTAACAGGATTTCTCCCTTTTGCTCTCCCACCAGCAGTGTGTGAAAGTTCCATTTCCTCCAAATCACTGCCAGTATTTGATGTGGTCCTTCTTCAGTTTCAGCCATTGATAAGTGTGTGGTGCTCTCTCAGTGTCATTTTAATTGCATTGCCCAAAGGATTCCTGACTTTGGGCATTTTTCATGTCATTTCCCAATAGTTTGTCTTTTGTACAATTTCTGGTCATCCCATTTGTCTGTTTTCTTTCATATGAGTTAGGCTATTTCCCTTTTCATTTTCAAGTAAGACACTGAAACAACAAAGACATTGGAATTTTTCTCCTAAATGGCGTGAGCGACATTTTTCTGTATGGAGTCATTGTTTCTAAATACTGGAAGGATATTTCCTCATTGTTTTCCTCAGACTGTCTGCGTCACACATAATGTCATGGCCAGAAACACCCTACATGGTTAAGTTTCGTTCGCATTATGACCTTAACGTCCATCGCTTGACTCCCGGCATTCAGTAATACAGGAAATCTAGCCCCGGTTGGTAGTGTTTGCCAATTCCCCAAGTGTCAGTGCTCCCACCGTGGAAGCGAGATGTGCTCAGAGAAGGAGTGGGAGATTCCACTCGGGTCCGCGGGCTTTGGCGGGAAACCAGCCTTGGCGTGTGCGGGACACTCCCCCAGGCCGGGCAGCAGCTGCGGGAAGGCGGGAAGGCGGGAGGCGGCAGAGGCCTCACACGCGGGTCAGCGGCGAGGGTCCTCCCCGAACGTCGGGGGTCTCGGAGACCCGAGTGGCCTCGCCTTAGCGACGAGGGCTCAGAGCTGACACCTGCGGTTCCGGTGGCGCCTCCGACCCCACCCGGGACCTTGTGAGCGGGTCCCCTCGGACCGCTGTCCGTCTCGCCATTGGCCCCCTTCCCTCCGTCCTCACTGCCGGGTGGTCTCCCAGCGGGGTCCCCTGCCGGGCGTTCCCCGCGCTGTGGGCCGCTTCTCCCGGCGCCCCGACTCCGGGAGGACTCCTGCCTTCCCGCTGGGGCGGCGGCCCCCGCGCCCCCGGAACCCTGGGCAGGCCTTTCCTCCGCGGCGCCACCGCTTCGAGACCCGGGCCGCGTGGGACCCGAGGGGACGCCCGCCCACGGCTCCCTGCGCTGCTGCCCGGGAGGCCCCTGAGGCCGCGGCCCGGCGCCGACCCCGCTCCCGCCCGCCCGGCAGCGCCCCGCCCTCCGCCCCGCGGCCCGGGACGCGCGGAGCCGCCGGTCCCGCCGCTCGGGCGCCCCCTGGCGGCGCGGGGACGTCGGCGGGCGACTCGGCGTCCGAGGTCGGTCGTCGAGGGAGAGACGGCCGTCAGCCGGTGAGCCCCAGACGCAGACGCCCAGAGACCGCTCAGCAGGGAAGATGCCGAGACCCCCGGGTAGCATGTCGTTTGCAAACGACGGGAGATCGAAGTCAGGGGACCTTCGTGAAAGAAGCCCGAGGGGAAACCCCTCCCCTCTAGGGGACCGAGAGCGACCGCCGCCGCCTCCTCAGACGCCGCGAGCGAGGAGAGGAACGAAGCCCGGGCAGTGTTGAGAGCAAACTGACCTTCCCAGAGCTGCGTGCCCACAAAATTACCCTCCATCGGTGCAGGGAGACGGAGCCTCCGTCAGCCAAGCAAAAAGTGAGGGCTTGGTGGCCCGTAAACCTGCCAGCTCGGTCCGTTCGGGGCGCTGTGCCGAAATGCCCCAGGCGGGGTGGCGTGTGAGAGTCAGCGTTGGTTTCTCCCAGCGCTGGAGGCTGGGCAGCCCGGGTCAAGGCGCCAGCCTGGGCGAGTTCTGCGGTGAGGACCCTCTTCCCGGTGCGGAGTCAGCCCTTCTTGTTGCGTCCTCACGTGGGGGGAGGAGCTGGGCGTCTCTGAGGCTCTTCCTAAGAGCACTGGTCCCGTTCACGCGGGCCCCAACCTGGTGCCCTGAGCACCTCCCAAGGGCCCGGTTCCAACACTATCATCTTTAGGAGTCAGGGTTTCAACCTTTTTTTTTTTTGCTTTCCTTTTGAGGAAGATTAGCCCTGAGCTAACATCTGCCACCAATCTTCCTCTTTTTACTGAGGAAGACTGGCCCTGAGCTAACATCCATACCCATCTTCCTCCACTTTATATGTGGGACGCTTGCCGCAGCTTGGCTTGCCAAGCGGTGCCGTGTCCTCGCCAAGCGGTGCCGTGTCCTCACCGGGGATCCCAACCAGCAAACCCGGGCGGCGGAAATGGTACATGGGCATTTAACCGCTGCGCCACCAGGCCGGCCCCTCAACATAAGAATTTTGGGGAGACACAAACATTCAGACCATAGCGCCTGCCTTGCAGGAAATTTTAAAAATACTTGTGTAGAGACAAGGAAAATGATCTGGGTCAGAAACTGGGATCTACACAAAGAAAGAAAGAGCATCCAAGAAGGAATAAGTGAAGGTAAAATAAAAAGTATTTTTCTTATTCTTAATTGATCTAACAGAGAACACTTTGTTCAAAATAGTAATACCAACAATGTATTCTATCTGCATATCTTATGTGTATGTGTGTGTATATATGCTTATTATGCTTTTACATAAGTAGGATGAATGACCTCAATGGTACAAGTGACTGGAGCGAGGAATTGGGGTAATTTTGTTAGTATAAGGTACTCACACTACCCAGGAGGTGGTATAGTGTTATTTCAAAGTGGACTTGGATTAGTTGTCCGTGCTGATTTCAAACTCTAGGGCAACAACTTAAAAAAAGAAGTATAACTGATATGCTAAGAAATGAGAGAAATGCAATCCTATAAAATGCTCAGTTAAAAATCACACAAACCAGGAAAAGAGTGGAAGACAAAAATTGGAACAAAGTAGAAATTAGTAACAAATATGGTAGATATTACTCCAACTATATCAATAATCTCTTTGAATGGCAAAAGACTAATTTGTAGACCAATTCAAAGAAATTTTCAGAGTGGTCAAAAACCAAGATCCTGCTATAGGTCGTTTAGGGAAATTGTGGGATAATATATTTGCAGTGTTTTAAGCCTCTAAGTTTGCAGTAATTTGTTACAGGGGCAATAGATAATGAACAGAGGGACAAACATGGAAAGAAATGAAACAATTGAGAAAGACAAGGTTAGGGCACATCAGCGAGTGCTCATTTCTTTATGAAGGTTCTGAATGTGAGTGACCCGTGGGGTCAGTGTGGGTAAGGAAACTGCTTTATCTGCTATGGCTTCATTGCTTAACAGCATCCGTTAACTGTCATCAGGCAAAAGTATAATTTTATATTGATGTTTCCTCCTAAAATTATTCAGGATGATTGGGTTACAAATGACCTCAGGACACAGGGGGCCAAAAGTTAGTTGGTGACCTATTTAGCCAATTGGAAAGCATTCGAGTCCTTCTGGTTTACCAAAACCCACCCTTGACCTGATCGTGAAGGGTCTGTGAATGGAGGTATGGGAAGTGTAGGGCCTCCTCACTGTCTATTACATGAACTTAAGCCCAATAACTATTCACAGAGTGCATGCAAGTTTATAAATATGAAATCATACTCTAAGAATAATATGACAGTATGAAATTGAACAAGCTTTTAAATGTCATCATTGGCCTAGAAACAGACACATAGATCAGTGGAACAGAATAGAGAGCCCAGAAATAAACCCATGCATATATAGTGAATTTCTTTTTGACAAAAAAGCCATGAATACACAATGGGGAAAGGATAGTCTCTTCAATAAGTGGTGTTGGGAAAACTGGACACCTATCTTACACCATAAGCAAAAATCAACTCAAAATGGATGAAAGACTTGAATGTAAGACCTGAAACCATCAAACTCCTAGAAGAAAATAGGGGTAAGCTCCTTGCCATTGGTCTTGGTGATGGTTTGGTTTTTTTAATTTGATGCCAAAAGCAAAAGTAAACAAGTGGGACTACATCAAACTAAAAAGCTTCTGCACAGCAAAGGAAACCGGCAACAAAATGAAAAGAGAACCTACCGAATGGGAGAAAAAATTTGCAAATTAAATACCTCATAAGAGGTTAATATCCAAAATGTATAAAGAACTCATACAACTCAATAAGAAAAAAAAGTTAATTAAAAAGTGGGGACGGGCCAGCCTGGTGGCGCAGCAGTTAAGTTTGCGTGTTCCACTTTGGCGGCCCAGGGTTCACAGGTTCGTATCCCTCGTGCGGACCTATGCACCGCTTATCAAGCCATGCTGTGGTAGACGTCCCACATAAAATAGAGAAAGATGGTCACGGATGTTAGCTCAGGGCCAGTCTTCCTCAGCAAAAAGAGGAGGATTGGCAGCAGATGTTAGCTTAGAGCTGATCTTCCTCAAAAAAAAAAATTCCATGCTACACAGCAATTCCAATTATGGGTATAATTCCAAAGGAAATGAACACAGGACATCGAGGCAGTATCAGCACTTCCATGTTCCTTGCAACATTATCCACAAAACCAAGATATGGAAACAACCTAAGTACCCGTCAGTGGATGAATGGATAAAGAAGACACTGTGCATAAATATGTACAACACAATATTATGCAGCCATGAGAAAGAAGGAAAGCTTGCCACTTGTGACAACATTGATGGATCTTGAGGACATTATGCTAAGTGAAATAAGTCACACAGAAAGACAAATACTACATGGTATCACTTATACATAGATTCTTTTTTAAAAAAAGTCAAAGTCATACTCATAGAAACAGAGTAGAAATTGGTTCCTTGGGGCTGGTGGATAGGAGAAAGGGCACAAACTCTCAGCTATAACAGGAACAAGGTCGGAGGATCTAATGTAAGACGCAGTGAGAATAGTTGATAACACTGTATTGTAAAATGGAAATTTGCTAAGGGAATAGAACTTAAATGTTTTCACACACAAAAGATAAATAGGTGATGGATGTGTTAATTAACTTGTTCTGGGAATCCTTTTATGATGTACACAGGTATCAAATCACCAGCATACCATGTACACTCTAATATCTTACAATTTTATGTCAATTTAACCCAATAAAGCTGAGATTAGAAAATAAAATAAAATAAAAATTTTAATGTAAATAAAATAAAAACAAAAAAGTCAACCCCCCCAACATGCCTTTCTTGATCAAACTAACAAATATCAAATCTATTTGATACTTCCTATTTTTAAATAATCTGCAAGAGAAAACTCCAGACCCTGATGGACTTACAGAAAGAGTTCCTGAATCATTCAGTGAAAGGATGTATCCAAACTTATTCAGAATCTTTCAGAAATTCCTATTCCCCAGCTCATTTTATGGTGCTAGAATAGTGTTGTTCTAAAACTTGTTAATTAAATTCAGGTATGCTTACAGAATGTAATACAAGTTGAAAACATCTCAGGAATTCAAAAATGTTTTATTATTGGAAAGTACATTAAGAGAATTCAGCATATTAAGGGATTGTAAACATCATGTGATTATCTTAATGCAGAAAAAATAAAATACAAATCCATTCACTTTAGAAACACCACACTATGCATAGGAATATATACCCTTAATTAGTTGAAATTTATCAATGAAAGCACTACAATAAACCTAAATTTTAGTGAGAAAATATCAGAAATTTTAGCTTTCAAATTAGCAACCAAACAAGTTTGTTATTATTAGTGTTTAAATTAAATATCATGCCAGACATTCTCGCTGGGGCTATGACACAGACAAAAAAGAATTAAAATAATACAAATACCATTTACAGACATATAATTTCTCTCAAATTGTATGATTATCTACATAGAAAATTTTCAAAAACTAACATGTTGTAAATATCTGGTGCACTTATGACAGTTCATCAAGATTGCCGCATATGAAACTAGTATCCCAAAATAAATCACTTCCACAAATGAGAATCATAAGGCCAAAAAGGAAATTCTAAAAAATTATTTAACTTATCACCAAAATAAATACTCATACCCAAAAAATTAACAAAATGTTTGTGTGGTGGAGACTGCAAATTTTCTGCTAACGTTGCTTCTCCCCTTCCTGGGCCTGAGCCTGCCCGCTCACATTCCCATCTTTCCTTCTGGCTGAGTCGTGAGATTTCCACTGTGGGTGGAGTAGAATCAAAGGGAACGTGCCTCTACCCATCCCTGGATCTCAGGGTGTTGGCCTGGCCTCCCCCACACTCTCAGCTGAGAGCCATCTGACACGCTGCCCAGCACCCTGCCCCAGAGTCCAGCCGAGCAGCAGCACCAAAATGCCCGTCAAGCGAGTGCCCTGTCTTGAAAGTGGATTCTTTATCAGCCATCAGTCTTTCCCAGCTCATGCCACTTGGACTGGCCAGAGTCATCCCAAGGCAACATCTGCAAAACACAGGAAATCCTCATTATTGGTAAACACAGAGCCAGTGAAAATTGTCACTGAACCAAGGGGTTGGGGACTCCTGTCCAGGATTAGCAATCACTAGTTCTGCGTCCTGATGTGCACAGATCACTGTTGTCGTCTAGTGTCTCCATATATGTGACTAGGAACTGGCCAACGCATAGTATTTAACCATTGATTCATTTCTTGAATAAATGTGATCACTGCCTGGCAGCTTTATTCTATACTAGTCAAATCTGGACACACACCCAATTTTCTGAAATACATAAATGGATAAACAAAATGTGTTATGTCCAGAGAACAAGATACTACTCAGCAACAATAAGCAGTTAACTATTGCTAAATGCCACAGAATGGAGGAATCTCAGGAACATCATGCTGAGTAAAATAAGCCAAACACACGGTATGTATTCCATGTATATAGCATGTTTGAAAAGGTAACAGAAACCTATTGACAGAAATCAAATCAGTGGTCATCTGGGCTGGGGGAGACTGACAGCAGCGGGATACGAGGAATGTTGAGGGAGACGGGAAGGTTCTGTGTTTTGATTATGGTGGTGGCTGCGCAAGTGCAAACATTTATCGCAACTCAATGAACTGTGTGCTTCAAATGGGTGCACTTTATTGTTTCTAAATCTTGCTTCAATGAAGTGGGAGAAAACTCTTAGTTTGTTTAAATGGTCACTAGGATTACCAGCCCAACCCTTTCATTGTCCAAAATAGGACTCAGTCACGGAGAGGGCTACCTCTGTGTGGGAGAGAGGGGAAGGGACTTGCCCAAGGTCACACAAATTGGAAGTGTCAGGCCTGAGACCAGAATGCAGATCTCTTGACACCCAAGCAGGGTTTCTCTCACACTCCTGCCTCCCAGGTGAAGGCCGTGTCTGCCTTCCCTGAGCAAACATGGGCACATCCTCCAAAGACAGGCCCTGGGTCAGGGGCCACAGGGCACGGTTCACTCTCACCTCCAGATGACCATAATGCCTGATCTGCTGGTTGGCTTGTCCAGTAGTTTGCATCGTGAGGATAAGCTCGGCCTTGCAGGGCGGGGACAGGAGGAGAGTCGTCCCCCAGGGCTGGTCTCTGCAGGAGCTGAGAGACAGAGACTCCTGAATGTCTTCAAGGATGTTGAGGTCTAAGGGGCACTGAAAAAGAGTCAGGAGAGTTCTGATGTCTTCATTTCTCCAAGTTAGAATTTTTATTTGCTTTTGAATTCTCAAGGAGAGAACCTCACCTGTCAGGTAAGTTCTCCATTTTCTATGAGTGCCATGACAGGTCCCCAGAGGGAAAATTTAGTCTGTTAAAGGACTTACAAAGAAGACAGTGGGATGTCCACTTGTCCTTGGAGGAGGCTAGGAATTAGGTGGGTGAAAAAGATTCTTTACTTTTGCAGTTGTCTATTGTTGCGTGAAAACATGACACCAAACATAGGTGCAAACAATGCATTAACTCCCACATTTTTGGAGTCAGAAAATCGAACAGGGCTCAGCTGGGTGAGTCTACTCTTCCATGTGGCATAATGGTAATCACTTGGCGATACTCAGGTGCTGTGTGAGTTCATTTAGAGTGTCTGGGATGACTTCACTCACGTTGCTGTGCCTTCTTATAGATGGCTGGAAGGCTGGGACCAGCAGGAACTTTCAACCAGGGCGCTTACACATGGGTAGACTTCTTACATGGCAGCCTAGGGTGTACCAAGAGACCCATGTAGAGGTTGCAAACTATTTGTATCTTGTTCTCAGAAATTTAAAAGGAAATTACATCCACCAATTCTTATGGTCAAGCAAGTCATCGAGTTTCAGGGTGAGATGAAATAGACTCACTTTTCAATGGGAGGAATAGCAAAGAATTTGCTGTCTTCCTTCATATACCACAAACACCTCCTGGGAGCTCTGTAGCAACAGGGACGCTGTGATTCATGGCCCAAGGACCAGTTGAGTAGGAAGACCAAAGTAATCATAACATGGTGCTGCACTAAATGATGGAGATTGGAATGTTATGGGGAAATTGAGGGCAGAGCAAGACTTAGCTAAGCCTTTGTTACTGAGCTCTAAGGGACTGGTGACCCCCAATGGGGTCCTTTTGCCTGGAGCCACTCTGCCAATAGAACAAGACTGGGTTCAGAATAGCAGAGTGGAAACTGTATTCATTGATCAATGAATGGAGGCAGAGTTTGTGCTCTAAAATACCTTCTCCCTGAAGGGAAGGTGAGCAGGGTTCTTATGGATTTGAAGGGGAGGGGTGTCCATGTCATCGCTCAGGGTTTGAGGGCTTTTGGGACATGCACAGATCTTCTCTTCTCGTACAAGGCACCTTTTGCACACATTTCCTTTTGTGCAAAGCACCCCATCGCCATCTTGGACCTTTCTGCTTTGGTCTGGTTCTGCCGCTTGGCCATCTGTCATTGTTCTGTCTTGGTTCCTGTAAGCAAACACAACTTAAAAACAAAGCATTAGACATGGAAAATGTTTTAGGGACTTCCCTGGGTGACAAAATCCCTCCTCTATGTCCTGCTCCTCATTCTTGAGGGGCAATGGATAAAGTTCTGTCTTCCATAACTACTTCCAGCTGACCAGGGCGTCATCATAGGGGCCCATAGAGGAGCAGAACTTATCCCCAGCTACTTTTAAATATGTTTGGTTGTCATCCGGTTAGACTCCCAACCTCTCATAACCCTGCTTAATACCATTAGGAATTTAATTAGTCTTTTGCTAGGAAAGGAAACCAGACAGTTTAGAATACAAGGCCCAAAGAATAGAAGAAGCAGAATAGCCCCCAAAAAGTGATAGAAACCAAGTCAGGCTGGGGAGAGACTATTTAACCCCATTCCAGAGCTGTTTTGTTAGGTCTGGTTGGCCTTTTTCATTTAACCAATTAGTCTCTTTTTGTAGCCTGATGACACTGTAGATATAGGTACTCCAGGGGGAGCACAAATCAGAGTGAAGATTAGTTATGAGAGATGACAGAAAAGGAGTCCCAGCACCTCCATGAGAGTGGGATGCCAGCCCAACAAGGACTTATCTTTGTGTCTCCAGAATAAGAGCTTCAGGTCTTCACAACTTGAAGGACCCACAACTAAAATATATAACTATATACTGAGGGGATTTGGGGGAGAAAAAGCAGGGGGGGGAAGTTTTCCTTAGATTTCTGGACAAGGGTGCTTTCATAGCAGTCTGCATCTCCAAAAGCTTCTTGTCCCATTTGTTTTTCTTTCAGTCTTAGGAATCTGGGATAGTCTAGATAATAGCTCCCAGAGAGGTCACAAATTTTTGAGATTATCAGGGGAGATTAGTTACTTATCAAAGGACTGACACGCCCATCCAGTTACATTATCCTTAATTTGCTTCTTTCCCTCTGGGTACTTAGTTTTATCTTAATTTAGGGAAGAAGGCCTAAAAAAATTCCTATCAGGTATTACATATCACCTTCTGATTTGGCCAAACTTCTGATCATAAGTTACCAAATCTTGTCAAGTTTCAGTGGGAACAAATAGTAATTATTCCTGACAGCACTAAACAGTTCCATTAATTTTTTTATTTTGTTTTCCCTTGACTTTTTTAGGGTAGCAGTTTCCCAGAAAATCTCTCTGAGTCTTGTTAACCCTGGGAGGGGCTCATATTGGGTCCTCCCTCAAAGGTAGATTACGAGGGTATTTGTAAAGCCATGACTTAAAAAGTATACTTCTTGACTGATGTTGCATAATTGGAACATTCCTTCTAACAGCTAGTGTACAAGTTTTGGAGGCTGAAAGAAGCCCCAAAGTGGCCACTGTAATTTTAAATTATCCTGGGTTATCTTGATCCAAAGATTCTTTTCTTTCTGCAGTAAGGATCCTTTTTATAGCTGTTTTTGGAATCAATTTGGCCACTTAAAGTGAGATGTCCTTTACCATGCTTAATTAACATTGCCTGAAGGCTGGATTTATATGCCCTCACAAAATCAAGCAAAGGAAATGTTTCCCAGTGAGACACAATATTTATCCCCACAATATAATTTAAAATACAATCAGGCATAAGACATGTAATTACTTTTATATAAAACCTGTAATTCCCAGCTGGTCCTGTTGGAAGAAGATTAGTGCAAAGACAAAAACAAAACAAAAACCCTGAACAACTGTTGTTACCTCCTTCTGTTGCTGCCTCAAAACGTCCCACTTAGATGTCTTGGCCATGAGGGTTGGGCACCCCCAAGTGTGACCTGGGTTGATCAGGCATCCCTGATCCCATGCCTAGTCTGTCCCTCATGGACTGGTACCTGTCCTTTGGAGAGGGGCTCCCTTAAGGGACCGACAAAACCGTTCCCTCCTCAGTCCTTTTCTGGGCTCCCTCAGTCCATTCCTAGGGAGAAGGCACTCTTGTGCCTCAGTCCTGCCTGCATGCACACCTCCTGTTCTGATGCTAAACCAAAGGGAAACTTTATGTTGGCTTGTAAGAGATCCCCCTTGACTCAAACCAAGCAGCAGAAGACAAAAGTCTAAGTGCAGCAGCAGGTGCTGGTTTAGTAAAAGTCCGTGGGGAGAGATCAGTGGACAAGCACCAGGCAGGACAGTCCTGGTTTCTCTCCCATTCATGAGCCTCCAACAAGGTAGGTGAGTCAGCCCAGTATGTGCTTCCGTAGCCCATTGCTTCACCCGCTGAGAGCTGAGAGGCCAGAATCAAGGAGAGGAGCCAGCAACTATTCCATTCTCTTAGGGGTTACGATATTTTGTTACCAAGCCCTAAGGGACAGGTGACTAAAAGTGGGTCCTTTTGCCCAGCGGTGCTCTCACCAATAGAAGGAACTGGGGTTCAGAATAGCAGAGCAGAAACTTTATTCATTGATTAATGAATAGAGGAGGCAGAGCTCATGCTCTAAAACATGTCCCCAAAAGGAAGATTAGCAGGGTTCTTATGGGATGTGAAGGGGAAAGGGTCTCCACATCATTGCTCGGGGTGAGGGGTGGGGGCATTTGGGGCATGCACAGATCTTCCCTTCTTGCACATGGCACCTTCTGCACACATTTCCTTTTGCACACAGTACCCCATCACCATCTTGGACCTTTCTGGTTTGAACTGGTTCTGCCATTTGGCTATCTGGCATTGTTCTGCCTTGGTTACTATAAGTAAGCACAACTTAAAAACAAAGTGTTACACGTGAAAAATGTTTTAGGGACTTCCCTGGGTGACACCTTGGGTAATAGAGAAGAGTTCTCAGCCGTAACCTGGAGGAGAGGTGAGATGTCCTCAGGGGAGAATCGAGGGCAGGTCCCGTTTCATCACACTTGCCTCTTTCTCCAGCATGTGAGGTCCATAGGAGCAAAGGTTCTGAGTCTGTCCTCTCCACAACTGCAGCCACAGAACTTCACATGGGGTGTCATTTGTTCACTAAGAGTTAATGGGAAGAGATGAGCAGATATGAAAATGCAGGCAAGTGCAAATATATAGTGTCAAGAGATTTTCACATATTGAAATATATGGGGTAACTATTCGGGTTCAAAACTGATTCTGCTTGAAATGAAAAGCCTGCCTTAAGGCCTATCAAATGTACATTGTACATCTGCTTTAACCAATAAAGTAAAGAACGCACTCTCTTACTTATCTTAAGTATCCTTCCCCTCCTACGCTAGTATAGGTAATGGCTATTGGTAACGCCCTTATTAGTCCCTTTCCTGACATCAGGACCATGTTCACTTGCTAATTTGCAACTGAATGCCACTTTGAAACTTTGATAAAAATGTGTCCTGGGTGTGTTTAATATATGTTCTTTGTTCTAAAAAGATATGACTGTACTGAAAACCATGCTTCTCTGGAATGCTTTCTTCCTTTCTGGAAAAGCCCTTCCTGGGTCATAATCCTCACTCTGGCTCACCTTATTTCTCTTATCTATAGAGTGGTTATTGGTAATTTTGCATTGACACTTCTTGGTGTAGTGTGGCAGTATTTCAGAGAAACCCATCGGAGACCAGCTGGAATCTACTTTGAACCGGTGTTTGGTACCACACAGGCCCTTTGAGCTCCTCTGGCTTCCTGACAGTCTTCAGGTGCCCCTGGTGAGTTGTTCTGAAACCTGGAGCTCCTTGTTTAAGTCATAGGTCCCGACTTTTACTTGAGCTGTTTCAAGTCTTTTAAGACTAGGTGTCTTAAGGGGGTACGAGTGTTACTGCCTACAACATAGGTTCTTTACCCTCCACACAAAAGGGGCCAAATAAAAACTGGAACACCAGGCGTATGGCAAGGAAAGGGTTTTTATTTGGGGTGATATCAGCTGGGAGACGAGAGTGAGCCCTCAAATTTGTCTTGTTTCATCTTGTCTCCCTGAAAGAGGGGAGGCAAGAGGTTTTAAAGGTTTGTGAGGAATGTGGCTGTTTGTAGAGAGGTGGGGAGAGTCAGTGGCCTTGCTGGCTGGAGCTTTCCCACCAGCCTGCATTCGGCTTTGGGATGCTGTTTGTGGGAGGAGGAGAGGATGATAAGGAATCCAGGTGGGCAACCTTGGCTGTTTGTCTCCATGGCAGATAGTGGTTTCTGGAAGCAGGGAACCAGGGAGTAAGCAGGGAAAGAGTGCTTTGGTTCTAACCTCATACATGGTGGGTTTAATGTAGGGGAACTGATATTGAGGCCAGCATCACCAGTACACTTCCTAGTTAAGAGAAACCTAGCGGTAATTTCTTAGGCCTGGGAGCCTAGGGGGAACTTTGAAGTGAATGGGTCAGGCTGACCATTAATTTGGCTTCAAACTGGAAAGAATTGTGTCTATAAACTCTGAGAAGATTGTTTAATAGCAAAATGAGAGACTGAAAACTCATTCAACTCCAAAGAGAAGAGACATCAGCTCCTCCCAGCCATAGCACATCCTCAGGTGACTGAGAACCTAGTGGAAGTGTCTAAGGTTGAGCCTTGAGATGTACAGCAGTCCTATAGGGAATTCCATCATGATTGTTCACTTTAAGTAATCAGTTGCTCCTCTGGGGTGTGCATCTGAGGGTTGGTGGTCCACTGCTCTGAGCCCCCAGAGTAGTTTTAGACTGCTGGCAGGAGGAATCAAGACAAGTAAGAGAATGCTCACAACTTTTTTAGGGAGTGATACTCCCAAGCAGCACACTTCTGCTCCACTACACTGTCCTTAGAAATTGTTCAGACTTTGTAGTAAAATGAAACTTAAAGAAAGTGGGAAATCAAGCTTCTAAAAGCCAACCAATTCCTGAATGGGCAGCCTCCCCTTGGAACTCTGGCTGGCTTCATATATAATACATATGGTGGAGTGGATACTTGCAAGTGCTTAACAAAGTGGGGATAGCTATAAATGATTGGATCTTTGAATCAAGATAACCCAGGATAATTTAAAATTGCAGTGGCCACTCTGGGGCTCCTTTGAGCCTCCAAGACATGTACATTGGCTATTAGAAGGAATGTTCTAATTAGATAAGATCTTTTAAGAAGTACACTTATTAAATCATGGCTTTATGAACACTTCTGTAATCTACCTTCAGAGGAGGACCCAATATGAGCCCCTCCCACGGTTAACAAGACTCTGAAACTTACAATGATAGCTGATTTTGTCTAATGCCTCATGATGTTTTTGTAGGCAATCTAAACATAATTATTGGAAACAAGTAGACTAAATAGATGTGAAAAGACATAAGTTTTTGGATGAAGCTTTTAACAATAATTCTGTGTTATGGTGTATGTACATAAAAGAATTTCAAAACTTTTGGTGACTTCAAACCTTAGAGTTTTGTTAAATTAAGTTAAATGATAGAAATTTATTGAATATCTAGGTCATTTCCACATAGGATAAAATATTAGACATTAATTACTAAATATAGATTTATCTACTTTTGGCTTCTTGTTACAGAGAAACTAAAAAATTTCAGGGTCTATTAGTAAACATGTCTTGTATTTTATTAAAAGATTGTACTATGAAGTAGCATTTTTCTAGAAATTATAAAAAGTATTTATAAATTTGCCAAGCCACAGAATGCTAAGGTAAAGACAGTTTATAATTGCTTACTTCTTAGTTTTTACTAAAAATTAAGGTCTTAAGGGTTAAGAAGTCTAATTAATATACGTGATTAAAACTACTAAAAATTAGTAATGAAAACATCTTTGTACTCCAGAAAAGTAAGATGTAGGTTTTTGGTAAGGAAGGTATAAGGAAAGGAAATATGTTTGTTTGTCTTGTTAAGAAATATAAATTTGTCCTAAAGTACTAGGAAAAACAAAAGAAGGCATGGGACAAATTCTGAATGTACAAAGAAAGTTATAGAAAGTTTGTGAAAAAGGAACCTTGACAAAAGAGTTTTATGCATGACCAAGCTGGCTAAGATTGGAACAAATTTAAGTAAGTAAATAAGTTTTAATATCAGAAATAAGCTGGTGGCTGGTGCAAAATTAGAATTTGATTTTCTCTTTCTTAAAAGGATAATTTTCCTGGACTTTTAGGCTGCTCTTGATAAAGAGATTATAAAAGGTTTTCTTTACTTTTGAGTGAGTCTCACTTTGGTTAAATGGATAACTAAGCATTGTTTCACAGTGACCATGATTTCACAGTGACTCAAGATCAGCAAACACTTGATCTTGTTTGACCAAATGTTTTAAAACCTTTTGATATTTTTGGCAAGCTCCCCAAAATTCAAATCCTAAATGAAGTCTTTCTTTTGACTTGAAAATTTCTCTGAGAATTTTCAGAGTGCCCTTGGGACTTCTCAAAGAAATTTGTTCTCTCTTCCTATAAAGAGGGAGATACTAAACTAATTAGACTTGTTTGGTATACTAAATTGTATGGGAAGCATTGTCAAGTAAATGATGATAAACCTTCTTAGGTTATATGGTGTAGGTAAATATTATTCACCATCTTAATCCTGCTGCCTTGCTTCCAGCACCAGAGGAGGAAAACGACCTTGACTGCATTCTATTATCTAATTTGGTCTACAGATGGATTTTACTTAAAGAATAAGCAAGGACATTAAAAATCTGGATATGCTGTCCAGCCTCGAGAATGCCCACTACTTTCTATTAACTCTGCTAACCCAGTGAAAGATTTCTTTCTTTCATAGGCTCAAGAAATCACCATGGAAGAAGAGAAACAAGGGTGGCAATAAAAAGGAGGGAATTTTTGACGTTACCACGCAGATGTGGTTTGGGCCTGATAACAAACTATAGTACCTATTGGAGCACAATTGCCACTGCTCCAGTGTAATACATCAATTAACCCATTGGGCACATTAAAAAGATGATTTTATGGGGAAAACAATAAATTTGGAAACTTTCTCCTATAGTGGCCCAAAGCATGTGCTTGTTGTACTATGTGTCCTAAATATAATCCCAGGAAAATACGTGTCACAAGGTCACTTTCTCCTTCCTAAGGGACCCTTTGAGGTATGTTGATTGAACTTCGTCCAAATTCCACTATCTCAAGTATATAAATATCTTAGTAATGATCTGTGTGTTCTCACATTGGGTTGAGGCCTTTCCTTGTGGAAGAGCAATGGTTTTAGTAGTAGGTAAATTATTAGAAAGGATAATTCCTGCTTAGGGAATTCCTGCTGAGTTACACAGTAACTGGAGAACTCATTTTACTGGACAAATAATTAAATATATTTGTGACATTTGGCCTATAATGCAAGATTTTAACTAATGGGAGAATCAACCCAATTGGCCAAGATTTCAGAAGCTCTAATCTCTCATGGCCAAATGAGAATACTCATGCTAGTACTTCTCAATCTTAGATCTACACGTTTTGGTAAATATTGACTGTCTCCTTTTGAAATAATAACAGGATGGCCTATGCAATGAGATGAGGAAATGTATGAACCAACTTTGCTTAAGGGAGATATATTACATTGTTGCCAGGGTCTAATTGAGGTGCTTAAGAGAAATGAAAGTTTGGTAGGTGCTTTCTTTCACAAAGAGCTCCTTGGAGACAAAGATCTTAAGGATCATGGACTACAAACTGGAGAATTTGTTTATTGGAAGAGGCACCAGATAAAAGACTCTCTGCAGCCCCAGTGGAAAGAACCATGACAGGTACTTTTAACCAATCCGTGCACTGCAAAATTAAAGAACTTAGACTCATGGATTCACATTTCTCATTAAAGAAGTCTCCACCTGAGTGGATTTTAACTCCTGTTTCTGACACTTGACTTCAATTGACCAAGAAAAATACCTCCAAATCAGGAGAAGAAGACAGCATCTGTTGTAGACAGCTGTCCCAAGACTCTGTACCAGGCCTGTATTCCCAAGCTTTTATCTCTTCATTTAAACCCTTGTAATGCTTAGCTTATTTTGTCCATTTAAGGCTTTCACAATACTATCATACTTAAAGCAAGTGATTGGTTTGGAACAGACTGGTCTTGAAGGCCAGTGGTTAGGTGGAACAAACCTCTGGCCTTGGCTACCACCCAGATGGCTAGAACACTGCAAGCTGGGTTTCCCTTGGATGCAGGGAAGGATTCATCCTGAACTAATAACTATTGCCAATCTTCCACTCCTTAAGGCCAGATGGGCTTGTTCAGTGTCCCACTGGGACCACCACCTAGCGGCTATACTTGTTCCTTCCTTGGGGCTAGATGTCACATCATGTATGGAAGCCCTGACTAAATTTACCCAATAAGCCCTTAATGATAGTCAAGCAGGAATAGCCTTATTGAATACTGACATATCATGATGAGAAAGTCTGTCCTTCAAAATAGAATGGCTTTAGATGTATTAACTGCATCCCAAGATGGTACATGTGCAATCATTCAAACTGAATGTTGTGTTGTTATATCTGATGACTCCTCCAATGAGTCATCTCTGCTAAAGCACATAAAAGGTAGATGAATGCCCTAAGCAACCCTACACCTAGTCTTGATTTGTTTAGTTGGCTCCCTTCTGGTATTGACTCTCTTTTGTGATCTGGATTGCAATCCCTATTTCTATGATTACTTGGATTTCTTGTATTAGTCATAATATTCAAAATAATTAGTTTAGTTTAGTTTTTTTTTTTTACTTAGTGTTATAAGACTGGCATGCAGGCTAGGGTAATGATTGCTCAGTGACTTGAGATGGTCAATTGATCTTGCAACCCTGGATGAATTTCCTTTTCTGATTAAGACTACATCTAAGACTTCATATTCAAGCTAATAATTTCAAGTGTTGAATTATCTCTTCTATGATTGTTATAAACAATTTAACTATAGGAAGTTACATAAAAGCATATGTACAATGTATGTGCAATAATCTAAATAATTGACAAATTATATAACCTATGAAATGCTTCCCCTGTTAATATATCCCTCTATGCCTGTGCACTATATCCTACTATTTCCCCGTCAACATGATAACTGGACAAATCAATGAAATAAAATCCTAGCATTGAGAGACATGATGGACCAGGACAGGCAGCAACCACCCTAGCACCAAGGGACAATGTTTTGCTTATCAACACTTTCTAGCCAAAGATTATTGATCAAAAGGGGAAATGTCAAGAGATTTCCACATATTGAGGTATATGGGGTAGTTATTCAGTTTCAAAACTGATTTGGCTTGAACTAAAAAGCCTGATTTAAGGCCTATCAAACATACATTGTACATCTGCTTTAACCATTGAAGAATTCACTGTCTTAAGACAAGAATGCATATTTCCCCTCCTGTGCTAGTATAGGTAACAACTATCGGTAACTCCCTTATTAGTCCCTTTCCTGATATCAGCGTCATGTTGACCTACTAATTTGCAACTGAATACCTCTTTGAAGCTTCAATGAAAATGTATTCTGGGTGTGTTAAATGTATGTTTTTTTGTTCTAAAAAGATATAAGACTGTACTGAAAACCATGCTTCTCCAGAACACTTTCCTCCTTTCTGGAAAAGGCCTTCCCAGGTTGTAATCCTCACTCCAGCTCAAGTAAAATTCACCTTATTTCTCCTATCTCTAGAATGGTTATTGGTTATTTTGTGTCAACAATAGAATATTCAAAGAAGGCGAGGAGACATAGGAGGCTGAGGTTTCTGTGAATGGAGAGGGTTGATAAGCGGTGAGGCTGCAGAAGCTTAACACCATGTCTCACCAGTTAAAAAATGAATAAAATAACACTCACTCATAACACTTTCTATTGAAGGTAAGAGGTTCATAATATGATATGACTGTTAAATAGGACACTATACAACTACCTACTATGCTTTAATTGGGAAGAAAACATGCATTCAAACTGAGGAGTATTTTTCACTTGCTTGTGTGATTTTCACAGGAATGTGAGCTGCCCTGGCCACAGCCTTCCCACCCTCAGTTGAGGCCAACTTCATCCTTCCAGTTGCTGAGCCCACAAACCAGGGACCATCCTTGATTCATTCTTGCTCTCACTCCCCACATCCAGTCCTACACACGTCCTGCTGGCTCTGTCCCTACAGTGTATCCCCAGTGGGGCCACTTTCCATCACTGTCTCTGCAACCAGCCTGGACAGAGCCACCATCTTCTCTTCCCTAGGTTTGCTCATTGGTTGTCTGACTGTTCTTCCTCTTCCTTCCCTTCTTCTTGGCAGCATATTCTCCATTCATCAGTCAACATGAACCTTTCAGTGGATGAATCATGTAGTGTCTGTATTTTGGTCAAATCCTGTGACGGCTCCCATTTTACTTGGAGAAAATTAAAAATTCTTATAGAAATCTAGACAGCCTTACTTACAGGTCTTTCTCCCATGTTTTTCTCGACCTCCTCCTTACACTCTGTCTCACACCTGGTTCCATGTGCACTGGCCCTTGGCTTTGCCTGGGACATGACACTGCTGCTTCCTGGGTTGGGGTGATATACACAAGACATCTGCCTGGCTTACTCCTCCATCTTTTCTCAAGCACTGACTGAAACAGTCACTTGTGCATGAGGGCACCCATTACTCCCAGGAGATGGTGCATCATCCCCTCGGTCCTGCTCATCCGCTAACCCAGCTCTTTTTTTTTCTTCGAAAGCACTTACCATCTTGTAACATATTGAAGACTTTATTTATTATTTGTTATTGTCCATCTTTCTCCACTATAATATTGGCTCAGTAGAGGCAAGTCTTTGTAAGTCATTTTTCCTGGTCCCTCTCAGACACCAAGAACAACACATGACAGACAGTGATGCTTGACCAGTGCCTACTGAAGCTGTGAGGAAAGGCTTCTGCACTTTCACTTTCCCCAAGGTCATTTCTAACTCTCAGCCATTTTGTCCTAATGGATTCTTTCTTTCCTTCTCCCTTCCAGGCTGCCACAGTGCAAACTTATCAGAATTGAAAAATAATCATATTTTGGGGGCAGAACCCCTCTGGTTGGCAAGAAACAATGCACAGCCTTGCTCTCAGCTTCCTTCTCTCCCTTCCCAGACCTCAGTGTCCCTGTCTCCCTGTCACTGTCACCTGGTCTTGTCCAGGCCCCTGAGAGGTGTTTTCCCTGCCCAGTTCTCAGTCTCTGTCTTCTCTCTAATTGCTTAATCACGACAAATGGTTCCTAATCACCTTTAGTAATTTGCACATTTCACAATTATTTTTCTGGAAAAATTTCCACTCCCCATGCAGACACTGTCCCTGCACTTCCAGGGGAAAGGAAAATCAGTCCCCAGCAGGGAGGTGATCTCAATGTGTCCCCAGGCTCATCTCGGCCATAAGATGCCCCTTTTGCACCTGTGCTCAGGTTGTGGGACCATGGTGGCTACTGTCCCAGCAAGCAATGGCATTTGGTAGGTGGGCCGTCTTTTTAGACAGAGAGCCGGATTCCCAGGAAAGCAGAATGTTTCTCTAGAAACCTCCTGAGAAATACGGTGTGGACATGACTTCTCTCCCCACCCCCTTGGTTGAAACTGAACACAGAAAAAGACATGCAGGAGGGACATTTTCTGAGGGTTCATGAGACGCAGTCACTCTCACCTCCTGTCCCAGGGGGCCTGACGTCTCCCTGCACCTTGTCTGTGAGCGCCCATCTGGAATCCTCTCCCTGAGCGCAGACCCCTCCCTCTCAGCCCCTGCTCCTGCTCACAAGATGCTGCCAGTGTGCTCAGCACTTGGCTTCTGCTTACACACCTGGTGTCTGATGGCACCTGCGACAGAGGACTTTCCCGACATCTGTGCTGGCGTGTCCTGCTTGCTTGGCTGTGATGGTGTCTGTGAGAACTTTCTGTGATCAGTGCAAAACCGGTCACCTCCATCTCCTTGACTCTGGGTTCTGCGGAGCAGCACGCGCTTTCTGGCACCAGTAATTTCATCTCTGAGAACACTTCTGGGATGGGTGTGAGGAAGGTGAACTGTGTCTCCCATGCAGTGAAATAGAAATCTCATTTTTGTTTAAAGTGACAGAGACTGCCAGGCTTAGGGAGCAGGAATGATCGGGGATTACAAACGTGTGAACGTCTTCCCGCGACTCAGCCCTGTAACCAGATTAGAAGTGCGGTGACAGCCTGCGACCCTCTGCATCTGCCCCAGATCCGCCGCGTGTCCGAAGCTGTCAGCCGGCTCGGTCTTCCAGCGGCGAAAGCTCCGCCTGCTCCAAACGGGAAGAGCTGCGGGGCGGGCGCGCGCCTGTCACCGCGGGGGCCGCAGGATGTGCCCGGTGGTCCGGAACTGGGCCTCCGCAGGATGCTTTGAGGAGGGAAGGAGAAAGGCCTTTGTTTTTCCCTAAATGAGCGCCGTTCTTAAAGGGCACCAGGGTCCTCAACCACAGCTGGTCCAGGATTCGGTTAGTTTCTTGTTTGAAAATATTTACCCAAATGTAGCTGTTCTCTTTCTTACTCAATTGTCTGGCCTGCGTATAATTCAAATCTATTTTATGACTCCTTTATAATTTCTCAGGGCCTTCTCCTTCTCTTATTTGGATTTTTGATCAACTTCTACTACACTTTCAATTTGTTGTAACAAACCTTTTACTTTATTCCTAAGAAAAATTTGAACAGATTTTTGTGCATATACATGAAGTGCATATTCTTTTCTTATCCAGTTTTCTCTCCATCTTCTATAACTCACACTGAGGTTAATCTGTTATTGATTATTGTGTATCATTCCAGAAACATTTTTAATTTTTTAGCACCTGTTTCTTTTAAGTAATCTGTACTTCATCTAGATTCTACTATTTTCCAAATTTTAATGCAGGGTAAATCACTTATTGTAATTTAATAACTTAATTACTAAAGTAAACAAGTAAGATAGTATTGCAAAAATAAAGACAGTTCTTGGTTTGTTTTTTTTAAAGATTTCATTTTTCCTTTTTCTCCTAAAGCCCCGGGATACATAGTTGTGTCTTTTTAGTCATGGGTCCTTCTAGTTGCGGCATGTGGGATGCAGCCTCAACATGGCCTAATGAGTGGTGCCATGTCCATGGCCAGGATCCAAACCCTGGGCAGCTGAAGCGGAGCGTGCGGACTTAACCACTTAGCTACGGGGCCGGCCCCTACACACATTCTTATATGATTAATCTACATTATTTTGTGTGTTCATATGCCAGTATATGAATATATTTATTTATCTCAGTGGTATGCACTAAAAATTTCCCAATTGTCCAACTGGGTCCATATTTTTATACCATGTATTTAATAAACTTTCTGCAACTAATTTTTATCTCATTTTTAATTATACACTAAGTTCCTAATATTTTTTATGCCTTAAGTCTTACCTTTCTGTTTTTAAAAATTAAGAAAATTAATAGATCTAATGACATTTCTATCTCTGTATCTATTTTCCTATCTGCCTGCCTATCAAATACTTAAAATTATTTTTTGGATTCTCTGTTCTATATCCTTGGTTCGCTATAAACAAGCTGTATTTGTAATTAAAAAAAAAATTGTCAGGGCTATTCCATTACCCTCAGTTTCATTTCCTATCTTCTTCTTCTTCGTCTTCGTCTTCGCCTTTGTCTTCTTCTTTTTTCCAGTACAGGATATTTGGGAATGTTGCATTTAGTTATAAATTACATGCTTTATACACACTGATTTTTAGTTGATCAAAATATTTAAAATGTCAAAGCACTCCATGCAAGATAATTGTTTCTCTCTGAACTTCTTTAGATCTTATTTTCAGTTCCTCATTTTCTTGAAATATTTATTCCATATTTATTTAATTATGTGGTTGTTCCCTATATTTGCACACACTTTCTCAAAGCACTTTTTTCATCATATGTGCAAATATAACACTGTCTCTAGAGAGAAAAATTTGCAAATTATTCATTTTACCTAGCATTTGTGCATTTTCTAAACTCATAAATATTAATGATTCATTTTATTCCATTTACTAATTAGCAATTTATTTAGCAATATTTCAACTGAGTCATCTCCACAGGTTAAAAGGTAAGTGTGTGATTGCCATGGAATTCAGTGTGGTTGTACTTTTGCTTTCTGGATTGTCCCTGCTAGAGATACTGGATACAGAATTTTAAAAATACTGGATTTCAACATGTGGTCTTATTTCTGAACAAGTTTCACATGCTGCTAATTATAACCACTCTAATACTTAAAAGGGTGGCTTTTGGTGTTGGAAAAAATGACAGTTGTACAAGAGGTAGTGCTCCCTTAAGAAACCACAGCTTTATCTGTTACTGAGGTCTGGAAGCGGGAGTTAAGTCTCACCTAAACAGTAGATGCATTTTGTCTGTTTGCTTTGGGTTTTAAATGGAAATTTGTTTCTTGTGGGGTTTTGTTGTTGTATTTTTTTCTTTGAGGAAGATTGGCCCTGAGCTAACATCTGTGCCAATCTTCTTCTGTTTGGTATGTGGGATGCCACCATGGCATGGCTTGATGAGCAGTGTGTAGATCTGCACCCAGGATCTGAACCCATGAACCCCGGGCCACCAAAGCGGAGCATGTGAACATAACCACTATGCCACTGAGTCAGCCCCGAAACTTGTTTTCTTTTTTAACTAAGGATTTTTTTTTTTTTTTGAGGAAGATTAGCCCTGAGCTAACATCCACCACCAATCCTCCCCTTTTTGCTGAGGAAGATTGGCCCTGAGCTAAGATCTGTGCCCATCTTCCTCTGTTTTATATGTGGGATGTCACCACAGCATGACTTGATAAGCAGTGCATAGATCCTTGCCCAGGATCCAAACCAGCGAACTCCAGGCCACCAAAGCAGAGTGTGCAAACCTAACTGCTATGCCACTGGGCTGGCCCAGAAATTCGGTTTTGGGGGGGGGTTTTATTGAGTTCATAATAGTTTACATCAATGTGAGATTTCAGTTGTACATTATTTCTTGACTGTCACCATGTAAGTGCTCCCTTTCACCCCCAGTGCCCGCCCCCCACCCCCCTTCCCCTGGTAACCACTGAACTGTTTTCTTTGTCTGTGAGTTTGTCCATATTCCACATATGAGTAAAATCATCTGGTGTTTTTCTTTCTCAGTCTGCCTTATTTCACTTAGCATAATTCCCTCCAGATCCTTCCATGTTGTTGCTAATGGCACAATTTTGTCTTCTTTATGGCTGAGTAGTATTCCATTGTATATACCACGTCTTCTTTATCCAATCATCAGTAGATGGGCACTTGGATTGTTCCATGCCTTGGCTATTGTGAATAATGCTGCAATGAACATACAGGTGCATATGTTACTTTGGATTGTTGATTTCAAATTGTTTGGGTAGATACCCAGTAGTAGGATAGCTGGGTCATGTGGTATTTTTATTTTTAGCTTTTTGAGGAATCTCCATACTGTTTTCCATAGTGGCTGCACCAGTTTGCATTCCTACCAGCAGTGTATGAGGGTTCCCTTCTCTCCACACCCTCTCCAACATTTGTTATTTTTAGTCTTAGTGATTATAGCCATTTTAACAGACGTAAGGTGGTATCTTAGTGTAGTTTTGATTTGCATTTCCCTTATGATTAGTGATGTTGAACATCTTTTCATGTGTTTACTGGCCATCTGTATATCTTCCTTGGAAAAAAGGCTGTTCATCTCCTCTACCCGTTTTTCGATCGGGTTGTTTGTTTTTTTACTGTTCAGTTGTGTGAGTTCCTTATATATTATGGAGATTAACGCCTTGTCAGATGTATGATTTGCAAATGTTTTCTCCCAATTCGTGTGTTGTCTCTTTGTTTTGATTCTAGTTTCTTTTGCCTTGCAGAAGCTCTTTAGTCTGATGAAGTCCCACTTGTTTATTTTTTCTTTTGTTTCCCTTGTCTGAGAAGACATAGTATTCAAAAAGGTCCTTTTTAGGTTGATGTCAAAGAGTGTACTACCTATATTATCTTCCAGGAGTTTTATGGTTTCGGGACTTATCTTCAAGTCTGTGATCCATTTTGAGTTTATTTTTGTGTAGGGCATGAGATAATGGGCTACTTTCATTCTTTTTCATGTGGCTGTCCAGTTTTCCCGACACCATTTGTTGAAGAGACTATCTTTTCTCCATTGTATGTTCTTGGCACCTTTGTCAAAGATTAGCTGTCTGTAGATGTGCGGTTTTATTTCTGGGTTTTCACTTCTGTTCCATTGATCTGTGTGTTCAGATTGTCTGTTTCTTCTTGACTCAGCTTTGGGAGGTTGTAAGAGTCTAAGTATTTATCCATTTCCTCTGGATTATCCATTTTGTTGGCATATAGTCTTTTGTAGTATTCTCTTATAATCTGTTGTATTTCTGTGGTGTCTGTTGTTACTTCTACTCTTTCACTTTTAATTTTATTTATCTGAGCTTTCTCTCTTTTTTTATTTGTAAATCTGGCTAGGGGGCTTGTCAATTTTATTTATCTTCTCAAAGGACCAGCTCTTTGTTTCATGGATTCTTTGTACTGCCTTTTTTGTTTCAATAGCATTTATTTCTGCTCTGATTTTTATTATTTCTCTCCTGCTGACTTTGGGCTTTGTTTGTTCTTTTTCTAATTCAGTTAGGTGTATGGGTTTCTTTTTAATTAATGATTTTTTTAAAAATAATCTAGATTTGATGAAGTGGTAACACAAATGTCGACAAAAACTTGGAACTGGGAGCAACCACCCATTTCCTTGGGCCTTGCATTCTGAGTTTTCTAGTTTTGCCACCATGGCTGGCCTCTTTCCTTTGATTTGTCTCTCTAAATAGAGAAGGCATTTAAATTTTTCAATCTGGCTTCCAAAAAACAACAGAAATATAGTAATAAAAATAGACTGCAATTCACCATAACACTATCTGAAAATTGCAGGCTAAGTGACGCACAGTAAACAATTACAACACCCAGGAGAAAAAAAAAAAAAAGTTGCAGCAAATAGAAAACAACTTCTCAATATTTGTTAAATATTGAAATAAGAATTTTTAAACATTAATATGGAAATTTCCAGACATCTACAAAGGATGGGGAGGTGATATAATAGACTATGTCAATGTACAACCAGCTCCACCAGGACCGATCCAGGGCTCAACTCATCTTCTGTCTAATTGCACCCAGTTCTCCTCCAGGAATTACTTAAGTTCAAGCAAATCCTAACAGCCGTATAATTGCATCTCTAAATACATCATTGAGTTCTCTAAAAGACAAAGACATTTTTCTTTTTCTTGTTTACAGTACCTTATCCTCCATAAACATATTAATTCTTTGGTATCATCAAGTAGCTGGTCGTTGTTAAAATTTGCCTGTGTTTATTAAATATTCAGATTTTTTTTTTTTTTGAGGAAGATTAGCCCTGAGCTAACTACTGCCGGTCTTCCTCTTTTTGCTGAGGAAGCCTGGCCCTGAGCTAACCTCCATGCCCATCTTCCTCTACTTTATATGTGGGACGCCTACCTCAGCATGGGGTGCCAAGCAGTGCCATGTCCGCACCCGGGATCCGAACCTGCGAACCCCAGGCCATCGAGAAGCAGAACGTGCAAACTTAACTGCTGTGCCACCGGGACGGCCCTATTCAGAATATTTTGTTTGAATCAGCATTCAACCAGTTTTCTAACCCTTATATCATATTTATATGTCCCTTGATTTTGTTATATTTTACAGATACCCTCCTCCTTTTATCATGAAATATTTTGTTTCATTGCAGAGGTCATTTACCA